GCCGTGCTGAGCAATAACGTTGTCGAACACGAGAACGTCGCCCTGTTGCCACTTGTGGAGTACTCGGATCTCATCTGTGATCTTCGCTAAGTGTTCTAGATACCTGTCTGGGATTGGCGTGCCGTCACCGTAGAGCTGTTTGGTGACTTCCTTTCTGGCCCCTTGTCGGCCTTGAGAGTTCTTCCAGTAGGCGGCTAACCCGGTGAAGAGCGTCGGAAGTCCCGTGCCTGGCTGGGTACGAATCGCGGGTAGCCTATGCGTCAGGATCACGCCGTCGTCTATCCATTCCCACGTCGTATGCTGGCCTCTTCCATATCTAGCAATCTGTGCCTCGATCTTCTCGCGCTTCATGGTCGCACTGTCACCGTCCAAGAAGTCTTTTCCAAAAGCTTGTTCTAGGGTTGAGCCTCCTGTATATTGCTGGTCGAACTTGTAGGTCACTCTGCTTAGAATTCCCTTCTCCGTCAGTGCCTGGATGAACTCCGGGATTTCATCCTTGGCTCGTTGAAAGAGCTCCAGTGACGAAGAAATAGGGGTCTCGCCCCCTTTTGCGGGCGCCTTGTGGTTATAGAAGAAAACGTATTCGGGCGCATGCGGGACCTGGGGTGACTCATTGTGGTTGTAGATGAGAACTTCTTTTGGGCTTTCGTTTGCAGGTGCCACGTTTGGTGCCAACAATGGTCTGTCGACTACAATGCCAATGATTTCGTGTGGTTTGTACCCGAAAGCGTGTGCAAACTTGCTGAAATCCTCGGCGCCATAGATTGGCAAACCTCTGAATAAAAGCACCCCATGAATGGCGAGTTTCTTGATGAGTTCGTCCTGTGTCTGGAGGGATTCTACAGCATGGACGACCTCATGCAACTGAACATCTCCGTGTTGACCGGAAGGCCTCAATGCCAGTGGTGTCACAGTACCAGTGGGATGGGGCTCGCCCAGAAGTCGTTGATTTGTCTTGGGTAAATCGTAAAATTGTTCAAATACGATGGAGGGATTGAGCTGATTGATTGTTTTATGGCCTTCGGTAATATTTGATATGATTGAAGTCGTCATTGTGATTGCGTGCCTTGCGGCAACTGTAGCAGGAAGTATTTGCTTCGATGCCGATGATCGCAATCTGGGACAACGTGCAGGTACTGGATGTAGGATGGGTTTGATGGAAGCGCCCGCGACGTGATATTGGTTGAACGGGAACTTATATACCTATCCGAGGAAGTTGTAGCATGTGCTTTGATGCGTTCGAAGCTAAAATCACGTTATTTTGGGCTTCATGCCAATTGGCGAGAGTCGCATCGATATCTCTACCCCGGTTATCAATACCCGCGTCCTCCGATAGAATTGGTTCATTGCAGTTGAGGTTGAATGAATCAAGGCCCAAACCTATGCTTAACTTCGCTCCTCCTTATGGACTCAGGGTCCATACATGCTTGAAAAGATATCGCGATATTCCGAGTACCGTATTCTAAGCAAGAGAGAACGCAAATTCTTTTCTATGGTGGATACATGCGATCCTTTTGCCAGCTCCATGTTGCTAGCCTTTAGGCAACTCATCGACGGCGAATGGGCTACACGCCGGCTCTTCCATATATGATCTACGACGAACAAGTCTTCCCAACGAGTAAAGATTCGTATTGACTGCTTCCGACCGTCCCCGATGCGGGGTCTGGGTTACCATTCGTAAGGCTCAAGAGATTGGTTCAGGACTGTCGATTGGTGCGACGTTGGGACGAAACTTGAGCACGTAATTCGTGACCCTGCAAGCAAATCTCATGCAGTGGGAATTTTACAGAGGCGGATTTGAGGTCTATCTCAAATTGCTAAGTGATGTAAATAGTTGCCTGAGGAGGTTCTGATTTTACACCAGCCCATAGAGGTTGGCCCTCCAGCAACTGCAACCATCAGGGTCTTCGAAGAGGGGGTCTTGTCTCGCTGCCGTCAAACCTTTTCAATTCATCATCAAGCATATTTGAGTCAAAATTCGACCATCGTACCAGTCAGCAACTTAGCCAGTCATGTCTGTCGAGGTGGCCGGCCTTCGCCAGCCAAAAATCGAACCCGGCAACCAGCCGCTGTCTCCGTCGCAACCCATACCGTTTCTCAGGAGTACTCTCTTTCAGATACTTATCTTTGGTCTCTGTGCTTTCTGTGCACCGGGAATATGGAGTGCTATGAATGGACTCGGCGTCGGTGGTTCACAAAGTCCAGACCTGGTCAACGCAGCGAATGCTCTCCTTTACGCCTTTATGACGTTGACTTGCTTCGCTGGCCCGTTCCTTACCAACCTGATTGGATTCCGCTGGACTTTGGCAGTTGGTGCTCTTGGGTATCCCCTCTATGCAGCCGGCCTTTACGTCAACAATCGGACAGGTGGAACATGGCTCGTCTACTTCGGCTCGGTTGCCTGCGGCATAAGTGCTGGATTCTTCTACAGCGTCGAGGGAGCGATTGCCACGGGATATCCTGAACACCACAAGCGAGGCCGTTACGTCGCGACGTGGTTTACCTTCCGCAACTTTGGCATGATTATTGGTGGCGCCATCTCGCTGGCGCTCAACCACAAGGTTAATCAGAAGGGCAAGGTTGGATACGAGCTATACCTTGCCTTCATTGGCATACGATGTCTCGGTTTCTTCTCGGGTCTCTTCCTATCCAACCCTGACAAGGTCATGCGTGATGATGGAAGTCGCATCGAGGCGCCGAGAGGGATCCATTGGCGGACAGAGCTCATCGAGATGTGGAAGCTACTCAGAAGCCGTTCGATTCTTCTATTGACGCCTCTTTTCTGGTACTTTGGCTGGATTCAGGCATACCCCGGCACCTACCTTGCAACATACTTCAGTGTGCGCTCGAGAGCGCTAGGTGGTTTCGTTGCAGCTATCGTAAGCACTTTCTCAACTTGGCTCGGAGGATCACTTGTGGATCTCCCGTGGTCCAAGAATCGTCAGAAACGAGCTCTAGCAACATATTCGCTGATTGTCTGTCTCAACACTGCAACCTGGATATGGGCTGTCATCATCCAAAATGAGTATCGACTCACGCTCCCTGTCCTAGATTGGGCCTTTCAGAGCGACTTCGGACGCGGTTTTGGGCTCTATATGCTGGAAAGAGCGTCTCTCGGCATGATTGAGAACTTCATCTACTGGGCAATCGGAAATCTGTCGGATTCGCCCGGCGACCAGATTCGGTATAGCTCTTTGCTTCGTGGCATCGAGACGGCAGCGGTAGCAGTGGGTTTCGGGATCCAAGCCTTTCCAACCCCCCTTATTGCTACAGCAAGCATCAACTGCGGTCTTTGGTTTATCGCCCTACCCTTCTGTTACTTTGCCACTCTGCAAGTTGTGAGGAAATTCGAAGAGCAGGACCAGATGCAAAACCGGATGCAAGACCGGGTGCACGAGATGGTGGAAACTGTGGAACAGAAAGTCTAGGCCATGGTCGACAGGTCTCAGTTGCCTGTCAAGTTCTTGGAACACATTATAAAAGCATGATGATTAATGATCAGACGGAAAAGGACCAGATGGCCATGGTCTGCAGACATCGCAGTGCTTTCCGCTTTAGCTCTCTCTATGTTACATCATATGGCCCATTGAACTATACGTAGGAAATCTTTCCACTGCCACTTGGGTCTCGGTCAATGATTAGGTAGCATTGAGAAAATTATTGCTGCGTTTAGGTTCTAGGTCGCTGCAGGCCTCTATCCGCCTCGCCCACAACCCATGCAAAGCACCGGTTACTAGTGAGACTCAACGCCTAACCCATGCATATAGTGTGACATATCATGCGTGAAAAAACCAGTGTGGATCGTCCAATTTCAATGTCGAACATGCAGGACTTCTTGCAACGGATATGATTGATGAATCGTTGTGGGTAATCGCCAACGCATTTCTGGAATTTTAGCTAAGCTTCCACACATTTAATGCTTTTGACTTTCTTTATAGAAGGAAAGTAGTTGTATCTAAGGGTTCATAGTCTTGTGCAACATGCATGGAGTTCATAGCAGCAGCACTAGCAAAGTCCCAGAGCGCAAGATTAATTGCAGTGATAATGTGTCTTGAAAGATGCTCAACATTTCTAGTTAATTCTTCAAAGCAACGGCCCAGCCTTATGCAGGGCATACCCGTTGCACAAATGGTTACGCTAGCCATATATACTCCCTCTCCTGCTCAACCTCTTGGTTCAGAAACAAAGGTAAGAGGCAGTAGACAGCGCTGATCATCTGCAGGCATGCCTGTACTTACAGCGTCACATTTAGTGATTTATCCCCAGTTGAAGGCTGGGCTGAGAATCGGCTCTTCCCCTGATTCGCTTTCAATTGAGCTGAGGGCGGGGAACGTTGCATTAGACAGGCGGGAGCGGCTATAGGCGAATTATCATCCCGGGCCAGACCAACACCTTCACTCCACCCGGATTCAGACGAACTGCATCCCCGAACAGCATCATGAAGTTGGACATTGCTTTTCTCGGGCATTTTTGGAGGATCCCATATCACTTATCACGTTTTCAAAGGCACGGGAGTAGCCACTCCCGCACCGCCTTATGCAGCTCGTATTAGGTGGACTTACTTGCACCTCAGTTTCTCAGACTAAAAGTGAACAGCCAAGCCAATATTGCCAAGCATACCCAGGTCGTTGGCAAAGAGCTCTTCTTACCGAATTGCCGAAAGTTTTACGAACCTCATTGCGTGCCTTTGGTCCGACCATGACTGTGAAATGCTTAGGTTAATGGCGAGGTGAAGTTATGCTGTAGGACTTTGCACTAACAGCGGACATGGAGGCGGAAATGCAAGACGACTATCCATCAAGTCGATCTATTTCGTCGTATGAGCAGCGACGACGGCAAGTGGACTCAGATATATAAATTCTCCAGTTGCCAGGCTTCTCAACTAAAACCTATTCATTGTCATCAACCACCTCTTCTATCTCCCACTCAAAGCAGCTTCCAGCTCTCAATTGTTCTTCGGTCACTCAAGACTCGCACTCAATCATCCTATCGTCTTCAAGATGCAGTTCACTACCGCTTTCGTTTCCATCTTGGCCACTGCTGTCATCGCCATTCCCACTGGCAATACTGGCGGCGGCTCTTCCTATGTTGCTTGCTCCGGTCTCTACAGCAGCCTCCAGTGCTGTGCCACCGATGTTCTGGGAGTTGCTGATCTTGACTGCGCTTCTTGTAAGTCGGAACGAAATCAGAGGGAGGTGAAGTGAACGATGCTAATAGCTTTGCCAACAGCCCCGACCGTGCCGACTACGGCCAGCGACTTGAAAAGCATCTGTGCCAAGGCTGGTCAACGTGTCCGCTGCTGTATTCTTCCCGTCGTGAGTAGTACAGATCAAAGACTAATGTCTGTTTCTCGTCTTCTAACAATGATTACCACAGCTCGGCCAGGGTGTCCTTTGCCAGAATCCCGTTGGTGTTTAGGTGTAGAGACGAGGAGAACTATCAAAGCACGATGTTTTGTCAACACATCTCGGAAACGTCTACATCTCTTCTTCCTCTGCAATACATGTAGTTAGTCGGCGTGTTGGACCGGGATGGACGGAGGGGAATACTTGGCTCTGAGGCTGCAAGCTCCAGAGCGTTATGCTAGCTTTTATACAGCAACTTCAGTCATTACCGTGTAGCCGGTCAGATGGCTTGCTCGAAGTCAACATTCCAACTGTTGTGACGTTATATATGGCTTATTTTGTCGACGTCCTCTACAATGTATCTCAAAGGGAGTCAGCCACGCGTTTCAGGCATAGAAGGGTTAACAAGAACGCAAACATGTTACTGAAGCAATTGTATGACGGTAATCCCTTAGTCAAAACCAGATACACTTTGCTGCTGGACTACTCGGAGCTACGCGCGAGTTGTAATCTAAATAGTCTAGAATTCCTCCTCTTGCCAACTTTCCATCAAGTTGTCGCTACCTTACGTGGAAGTGTTGTAGGAGAAGAAATCGTTGTTTCGCCCATTTGCCCCGCAACTTGGGCAACTGCTAGATAGATGGAACGCCATGAAGAACAAGGACTGTTTTGCTGCATCTTAAGTTGTGGCGATATGGGTTGATGTTGCATTTGTTGCCAAGACTCGTCTGATTGATGCTTGTACTACGTATAAACATTGAAGTCTGATTTCCCCTTTCCCTGCTTAATTTCTGCCCTGTGGAGAAGCCTGTCCCCCAAAGCAGGCGTTCGACAGCACACTGGCCACTGTGCTATGGCGTGCTAGTCCCAACTTTGCCCACTACTGAAATTCAAAGTGATCCGACGCTCGGCTAAGATGGCGCCGGCTGAACTATAAGTGCACATCGGACATGATTGATTGGCGCAAGAGTCTGATCCTGATTGAGCCGTTGCACTCCGAATCTCAATAGAGCTTAGATTGACCAAATGTCAACAATGAAATGGGGTAGCCCTGATTCAAGCACCGCTGCAAATAGGGAAGCAATGTCATTTGGAACCTGAGGGCGAACATGGGGAGGTTTTCTTTGAGGAGATCTTTCAAATGCAGGTCATCCCAGTTACATATTTGCGTACGTCTGCAACTACCAACGTCTTTCCACAGACGTTGCGACTAATGTGCCTGTTGTGTCGCCAATTTCCAGTCTTGCCGAAGCTGTCATTTACCGCACTTACCGAGACGAATGATGGACTCAACTCCAGTGTCCAGTGTCATCCCCCAGGGCCTGGGCATCGAGAGCCTTTTGCCTGAATGCGCGGTAACTTCCCTGATCGTCAAGCCAACATAGCGCGACAGCCGCGGCAAATCCGCGAGTCTTTATGTGACTGCTAATTGTTATGCTGCTTTTAGAGTGAATGTGTCTCGAAAATGCTCGCATCAGCGCCTAGTGCACAAGCCGCTGTTAAATTTCTTTGCGCGGAGCAACAACTCTACGGAGCAGTCGCCTGCAGCTACCAAAACTGCTCTATCATTGATGGACTAAGTATGTGCCTCTTAACCTTCGACGCTTTTACCAGGACTCTTGCTGATGAAGGCAGAGAGCCAAAGAATCACATTCGATATTTGTGGACTTCCCAATCGAGATAGAGGTACTTCGGCCACTGCCAGTGCCGTAGCAGGGGCCATTGTGGCTGTATTCAGTGTTGGTGTCCGCATGTACTCTCAACTCTCACGGTTGGATTATATTATTGGACTTGATGACTATGCCTTGATTTTCTCAATGGTTTGTTTTTCCATTCCATCAAATCGTTGATTCGCCCTGTACCTAGACTAAGGCAAGATTGATCTAGTTGATGTCAGTACCTATGAGCATTGTTGTTGTGTTCAGTAAGCCGCCCACCCATGCACGGAGTAAACAATCCTGAAACGGGTTCTAATGTATGCTACAGCGGTCCAAAATGGTCTTGGAAAAGACGTCTGGACACTTACACCGGAGCAAATCAACGAGTTCTTCAAAGTAAGTTCAATGGCAGGCAATGAGGTCGGCGAAAAGAGAAGAGTCCGAGCTAACCAAACTCGCCAAGCTGTTCTACATTGGGGAGCATTTTTATGCATTCACCGTTATGTTTGCGAAGACGAACTTTCTGTTCTTCTACTTGCGCCTATTCGCCGATGAAACGTTCAGGCGCTTAACTTGGGGAGTTATATGGGCATGCGTCATATCAGCCTTTTCGTTCCTAGTTGCGACTTCAGTTCAGTGCTGGCCCATCAGCTATACCTGGACTAGGTGGGATGGAGAACACCAGGGCCGTTGCCACGATATTAATATTCAGACTTGGGCACATGCGTCGGTCAATATCGCTCTTGATGTCATTGTAGTAGCGATGCCCATTTCTCAGATTGTCAGGCTCAATTGGCGATGGAGACAGAAAGTTGGGGCCGGTATGATGTTCGCTGTAGCATTGTTGTGAGTGGCGCCCTGCGAAACCGGGAGATGTGGAATTGATAAGAGCTAATCTCCATTACAGAATCACTTTTGTCTCTATCCTGAGACTCAGCTCTATCAGTGATTTCATGAAGACTTCAAATCCGACATGTGAGCTGGTTGATCGATGACTGTAAACTCGATTACTGACGCTTACCAGGGGACATTGTACCAATCTCTAATTGGTCATTCGTCGAGTTAAATGGCTTCATCTTCTGCTCCTGCATGCCCGCCTTTAGAGATTATTTCCGTCGGCTATTCTTACGACGCAGACGAACAGTTCAAGGTGGAAACTCGATATTTGGTGCCAGGGCGAGAATGAGGACTATTGGGAATAGTGTCTTGCAACCAAGCGATCGGTTGCACGAACTTATTTCTGTTGACAACGAAAACAATGAGCCTGATCATTCTCGTCGGGATGTCAGCCATGTGGATCTGGGAATCGGACATCTCTCAACCGGTGTATTGGCTGCTGGAACTGTTGATAGTGAGCCCAAAGCACCAGCCGCAGATCGCTCAAGTCGGGATGACGATAACAGCAAATTGAACGAGCAGGCCGAAGAAGTGGATCTTGGTGACTTGAAGCATTTAGCACCATGGGTCTCTAAAGGAACATGTAAGCAAAATGGCGAATGCTCAAGTGCTCGATTCCCAAGGGGGAGTGAGAGTTCTCAATAAAAAACATACGCCCGTTAAGGCCGGGATAAGTGGGGAAAGAGGGAGCAAAAGGTAGATCAGTGTCGTGGAGGAGTAGTTGTATCGATTTGCGGACTTCAAGATACCCTCTGAGTGAAAGGGTTCCGGGAGTTGGCAATAGCTAGAATAATCACCGATAAGAATCCGGCGGATAAGACTCATGTGTTGGATTGAGATTATCGCTCCCGCATGCGTAAAAAGTTGGAGGTCTTGCCAGTAAGACTTCCAACAAACTTGACACGACAAAATTGTGGTGGGAATCAGTTTAGAAGTTCGGCTTCATTTGAGAACGATGAAGGCGATGTTGAAAGGAGACGACTTATGGTGGAAGGGCTGGATATCATATCTTAGGGTTACCAAGGCGAATCATCACTGGCTATTACTTAAGTCAGCGAGGAAGAAAAAGAGAGTCGGCGAAAGATTCTAAAGTAGGATATTGTCTCGGAAATTGTGACTATATCCAACATGGGCTGAGGGAAAGGGTCTGTTCCAGGAAGTCACTCGATGTGTCGGTATCACGCTATTTAGGTGCAATGAAACGACGAGGATTGGATCCATGCCACCCCCATGGATGACGAGCTCCTTCGGAAAAAAATTGTTTGCCGCTTGCCACTAGAGTCATTGCCATAGCGAACGAAAAAGGCCAGGGTTGCGTGGGGAACGATAGGCTCGTGAACGAGTTCATTAGATTCATCGTCTCCCATTGACGTATTCAAGCCAGCTGAAAGTAAAACGTAAGTAGTCCTTAGATTGCAAGTGGCTAGTTGGACATTGAGGGGTGGAAACAGGCTACCTCTCGTTACCAAGTACCTGTACTTAGGAGTCAAGAATCGACATCGCCAAGGTTAGCCGTCGTAGGGCTTCCATCCCAACCCTCCCGGCGCTTGTGTAACTATCCATGTGGGCGGGACGTCCAGTTTGGAAATACGCGGCGCGATGCATGACTGCCGACTTGCCTAGCCTGGAATTGACTTGCCTATCTGAAGCCAAATAGGCAAGTCGTTAGATCTACTGCGGCTGACAAGTTGCCTTTCCTGGATAGACGCCACGACTGATCGTGGGGTATACTCCAAATAGGAAACTTCCAATCCGGGACGTCTCGGATAGGAAAGTTGGGCCCAATTAACTCGATCTTGGCATGCGGGGAGTGCGTGAGACTAGAGATAGTCCACGCTGCCGTCTGCCGTGACCATTGATCTGGACCCATCAGAAGACGCTGATTTCGTCTTACAGGGACACGTTGGGTGACGGGATAGGCAACTTGCCCACCTTTGGAAGATGTCCGCCTGCACTAGAGGCGCCTGAAGAGCATGAGAATGACTGTTTTGATGTTTCCAACGCTGGCATTCCGCGGGATACATATCCCGTTGCGTTTATGTTTGATCTTGAGGTCAGCTGATTGCACCGGACTGAATGACTATTTCAAAGCTCGCTATTACAAGTGTGATGCCGTGATAATATGCCAGCTAGCGTCGGAAATCGAAATATCAAAATTCCTACACCAGACCTCAGCGACCAAGCCTTTCAAACCAACCGAGATAGGACTTCGTCATGTACGCATTCATACTTCCCTCAGCAGCTTTGCTGAGCCTCTTATTCTACTTCATCGTCTACCCCCTAGTCGAATATTTCCGAGACCCCAAAAGACTTCGTCGATTCCCGGCTTTCAAGCCTTTAGCTGGGGTGACCAATTTGGTTTTCATGCGCGAAGCTGCACTCGGCTTCAGATCCAAGACTCTCTATGAGAAGCACAAGAGACACCCAGTGCTCCGCACTGGGCCCAACTCGCTTTCGTATGGCACCGTTGATGCAATCAAGGACATCTACGGACACGGAACCAAGTGCCTCAAGGGCGAATTCTACGAGACGTTGGCTGGAACCCACTTCCACCTTGCCGATGTCGTCGATAAGGCAGACCACGCCCGGAAACGCAAGGTTCTGTCGGCGGCATACGCATTGAAGAACCTTGAGAACTGGGAACACAAAGTTGCTGACAAGACTGAGCGCTTCATTGTCGGGTGCGACAAGGCCTGCACCCAGCCTCTGAAGGAGGGTCTTCGTCCAGACTCGGCCGATCTTGCTTTCGATTACCGAGCGTGGACGAACTACTTCACTCTCGATGCTATTGCAGATATTGGTCTATCTGAGAAATTGGGATTTCTAGACCAGGGCCACGATCTCGTGCGCGCCGAGCGCATGGACGGGTCCATTCACGAGGTGAACTACAGAGCCTGTTTGCATTCGACCGCCGTCGCTCAATCCATCACTGTTTGGGCTGGTGATTGGTACAAGTTCAATCATCGTCTGACATCTCTGATATCACCAACTTTCCGTCGATGGTGGAACCTGAATAAGGGATGGGACGGCATCGTCTACCATCGTGCAACCCAACGACTGAAGCGCTACCAGGCTGGTGAAAAGTTGGAAGATTTCTTCCAAGCTTTGATGGAAGATAAGAATGGAACCCCCAATGGGCTCGACTGGGGCGAGATTGTTGCGGAGGTGTCCATCATGATGAATGCCGGCTCAGATACAACCGCCATTGCTATGAACAACGTCATGTACTGGTTGTTGAAGAATCCCAGGTGTATGGAAAAGTTGCGCGAGGAAATCGATGCCGTTCTGGAGCCCGAAGAGGTGGTTGCGCCGTACGACAAGGTCAAGCACTTGCCGTACCTCAGGGCGTGTCTTGACGAGTCTCTCAGGATAATACCGCCAACGACCTTTGGTCTTCCGCGACGAACTCCACCTGAAGGGGCGTATGTCCTCGGAGACTTCATCCCTGGAGGCACAACGGTTGCCATCTCGGCATATATCGTCCACAGAGATCCCAAGATCTTTCCAGAACCCGAGTCCTACATCCCCGAGCGATGGCTCGGTGACAAGGGCAAGGAACTGCAACCGTACTTTGTCAGTTTCAGTGCTGGTGCACGAGGATGCATCGGGCGGAACATCAGTTACCTGGAGCAGACGGTTTTGTTGGCGAGTGTTTTGCACAGGTATAACTTCGCCTTGCCCTTCCCCGAGTGGGAACCGGAGAGGCGGGAGGCCATGAACCTAATGCCAAGTCCGATGCCTTTGAAAGTCTGGCGCAGGAAGTTGAAGCAGGAAGAATGAAACAGGAAGAATGAAACAGGCAAGTTAGGCGAGAACATGCAGTCACCAATCTAGACATGTAGATAGATCAAAGCTTGTGTTTTGAGAGAGAATGCTAAGTAAATTGAACCTCGACCCTTCCGCAAGTAAGTGAAGTAGTTGCAAGGGTTCATTAAATGCGAGTCGCTATTAACTAACGGGCTTATACAGAACGCTAGAGCTTGCTTCCCTCGCTGATTGACTCAGATCAATCCGCCGTCCCAGCTCGTGCGCGGGCGTTCAACATGGCCGCAATAGGCATCGCGGGGGGTGATGGGGAGTCTTCCCAGCCCCAAGCCTCTCTGATCTGAGACTGTCTGCTCGCCTGTTAGTGTCATGTTCCAGTGGCTAAAGGCCTGGCGCGAGGGTCTACTTACGCTGCATGAGTCGGCCACCCCAACCGCCTGTCAGTCTTGACAAGGATCTTGTACAACTCCTCTTGTTCTTTCCGGTCTGTGAAACGATCGCCTGCCATGGTGATTGCTATGCATGCGTTCCTGTTGTATCCCGTCGGTCAGAAGATGATTGGGTAGAGTGTTTGCTTGCCGATTCGTGGCACTTACACGTATGCTGGGGGTGTTCTCTCGTTCGCCTGTTTACGGAGCACCAGGCAATTAGCAGATAAGTTCCCCTAAATCGATGGCGTCGATGAACAACAAGCTTACCACAGCAAGGCCACATATCACACGAACGGTTTGTTTGAGTTCTTCTTCCATTGCCCGGAAAGCCGTACCAAGTCTCGCGACCTTGGGGTTGTGGGCGATCAAAAGCATCCGAGCCAGGTGATAGTGCTGTAATCCAGTGACAGCAGCGTCGGTGATGTACTGTTCTTCCAGCAGAAAGCCAGGTTCTGGATTCGCCCACATGGCGTCGAAGTACCATGGCTTCTCTTTCCACCATACATCAAGATCCTCTTTCAGTTGCGCGTAGCTCCTTACGTGGTTGTCTTCCTGACCGTAACAGTAGCTAAGACACATTGCACAGATACTTACTGCCTTGTTGGCATAATGGCAATCCACGGCATTCTCATCGCTGTTACCGCGGTCCTGTATCCGCTTGATGCTGGGGAAGAAGCTGTGGTAGACCGGGCGGGTATGAACAAACGCCATATATATTTCTTGCCTCAGGGCAAGCCAGAATGCGGAAAGTCGCAGACCGCTGAAGTCGGCGGCGTTTTCCTGGGCGGCAAGCAGAATTCTAGTACCCATCAGATGGGACTCGAGGGTCATGGAACCGATATCGACTTCTTCCGTGAAGCGCAGGATTACGACAGCGGCCAGGAGGTTGTCGTCAACGACGGCCGTAGAGGACGAGAGCGCCGGGATCAACGAGCGAAGGCAAATTTGATGGTATCGGTCGGCAATGACCCCATCAACGCCAATTGTTCGACTCAGACGTTTCGCGGAGGCTGAAAACATCGCGTTCAATAGTGTCGGGCAGTAAACTGCTCTCTTCGGCACCACCTTGGCAAAGTGTCTATCGTTGTCGCACATGTCGAAAAGAGGTGCGAGGTTGTCGACGAAGTATCTGTAGAGGAAGGCTTCCTGGCGGTCTTGGAGGGGCCATAGTGGTGTTTCGACATAGGTTCTATCATTCCCGGTGGATTTGTCTTCTAGTTGGGGATCTATCGCTTCAAAGATGTGTTGTATGTTGGGAAAGTCGAGTGTCAGATCTTCTCCAAGGTGAAGCAGGTCCCATGGTATTGAGGTTCCAGTATGACCGCTCGATGCAGACGTGTCGTCATGGGTATGGAATTCTTTAGCTGGATGTTGTATGGCATCTTGTGTTGTAGTCTTCGTGTCTAGTCTCGGTCGCAAGTGTCTTCGTTGCTTCCTGGTGACGTCTCCGCCGTGGAGGGCGTTACGTGAGGCTTGTGATTTTGTTGCTGAAGTTCGAGAGTGACACAGCAACTCCGGAACTGGAGAAGAAGCAGCAGATAGCAAGGCAAGGTAGTCCTGCGGGCTTTCATGTCTATGTGGAGTCCCTAGGTAGGTGTTTGCGCTGCCCTCGTCGGCGCCGGGCTCCCCGGTGACAGCAGCATGAATGTTGACCACATCTTCGGTCTCGTCGACAAAGCTGAAGGACCGATTCGTTGTACGCACCCAGGTTTGCCTTTCCGAAAAGCTGTACTCGCTTCTAGCAGCCCCAGTTCCTCTCTCTGGCTGAACACTTAACGCAGACGCAGGGTTCAAGTCAGCTGGAGGGGCTCGGCTGAGGTATGATTACTGAACTTGGGTCCACGAACCTAGGGTTCAGTGTGTGCCTAAAGCGTACACTATATCCACGGGTGCATTCGACTCCAGATTTTCGACAATTAGAACACGTTGATCGACTTGAATCACCTGCATGTGGTCTTGGTCAGTGACAAGCAAGGATCGCAATCGAGGAAATATTCGCCGAGTTTGAGATACTGCGTCCAAGGGCCTCAGCCACGGGCAAGTTCCCGGTGGGATGGTACAGATACCGGTGGGAGGTTAAGGAGCCGCAAATTGAAGGATTGGGTTGCTTACATTTGAGGTGCCTAGCGTGCAGAACCAATCAAGTCGTTAGAATAGGCCTTCATGATAGCTCAGAAAGACCATGTTTGGAAGGTATGGGGAACAGTCGTAGGCCACGGGCCTTGTAAGGTCCATCTCGCCGGAATATGCAACCCACGGAATCGAAACTCACCTTAACCTGCAGATCTACAACATCATGCGTGTTAACAAGACTGTTCCTGGCGGCGGAACGAACTGCAGATGGTTCCATCGGGTAAAAGCCGTGATCCCATGCCACGCAGACATGGACATGTTCGCCGGCCCTAAGACAGACGAGGGGACGCGACGGGGTTGAGGAAAGTGACAGGATAGGAAAGAATACTGACGTTACACGGATTCGTCCGGGTCTGTACTCGGTTCATGTTCTGGACCCGCCGGGTACTGGACTTGTCCAGCGTCAAGTATGTGCGCTGATACGTGTGTTTTCCGCGTAGACAGTGGCATACAAGAAAGCCGGCCGGTGGGCAGAGATTTACTGGGCCTTGATTTGACGGTTCATAGGGGGGAGAAAGACTCAAAACGATATTGTGTGAGAGTGGTGGTTTGGCGGCGGGGGCGCCCGTGGGACGAGAAATGTAGGACGGCGACTGGCGAGTACTGCTACAACGACTGCTTTCCAGGTTGTCAACTTGCAATAATGGCCTACTGACATTGGATTTAGGTAACCCGGCCAAAGCGGGAAAGTCGTTGGGTTTTGGCGGTAGGCGGAAGACATGGGAGACGACGGAGTGGATGAAAGCAGGTCAAATAGGAAACGCGAGGGAAATAAGACTGACTTGCCTATTTGAACTTGGATAGGCAACTTTCCCCCGCACGCACCCTGCATACACCGCTAAGAACTCCACCAGCGCTGTACGGCACCGGCACTAGACTAACTCGCCCTCGTGGTGATGTGATGGACGTTTTTACACATACCCCTAGGCTGGTTTGAACTTCCGGGTGGATTCCTGGCTGGAACAAGAGTCCCGCGGAATATGGCTTATCTTGTTCATGACATGAATCTGGGGAAAATCCGGGGGAAGCTTCAATGACTGGGCTCGTCTAGACTTTGACTTGGCTTGGCATCTCTACCGACATGGGCAAAGTACTCAAGTATTTCCCGGTATTCGCCATCCTGCTATTGGTTGACACATCATCGTGGCCTGCCATCTTCCTCGAGGTCAGCCAACCTGCGCAGATTAGGGTGTCATTGAAGATAGCTCGCGTAGAGCTTTCTACTTCCTTACCAGCTAATTGGGCCTTCGACGAAATCTAGCAAGGCGCTACTGATGAACCAACACCTTGCTCGGGGTAATCCTATTGCTTCACTTCACGCTCTCCGGTCTTCACTCCGACTGCTAATATAAAGACCTCACTTTACCCCAGATCTTCCCCAGATTATCACAGCATTCCACTGAGCACTTCCCCTCAAGCCAATTGGGAACTTTCGCCCTTCTCTCATAGTCACAATTGTCTCTTTTTGCCATACCCATTTAATATCAAGACCCCTCGTACCTTGACTCGGCTATTTTCACGCAACGAACCGCCACCATGGAAACCAAAGACTTGAAAGAATTGGCCCAGCATAAGGAGACCGTAGCCGACGGCTCCTCCGAGATTCAAGCCAGCCTTGATGATCTCGACTCCATCGAACATACCCAGACGGGCAAGTTCTCATGGCTAGTCTCCATCACCGCGGCCATCGGCGGCATGCTCTTCGGCTACGATACAGGCATCATATCAGCCGTGTTGGTCTACATCGACAATGACCTTGGGCACACCCTCTCCTCGTCTGAAAAGGAACTCATCACGTCAATCACCTCCGGTGGTGCCTTTATCGGTGCTATTTTTGCGGGAGCCACGGCAGACCGCTTCGGGCGCAAGATTGCCATCTACGTCGGCAGCTTCTTGTTCACTGCAGGCGCCATCCTTCAAGCTGCCGCCAACTCGTTGGCCTTGATGACTGTTGGTCGCCTTGTCGTTGGGTTTGGCGTCGGCTCCGCAGCCATGATCATTCCGATGTATGTCACAGTAGCATCAAATGGTGCAAGATTCAATTATGATGGACCCTCGCTAACATGAAAAACAGGTACATTGCCGAGCTATCCCCTGCCAAATATCGCGGTCGTATGATCGGTCTCGACAACATGTGCATCACGGGCGGCCAGCTAGTCAGCTATGGCGTCGGTGCCGGCTTCGCCCACATACAAGGCGGGTGGCGTTACATGGTTGGCGGCGGCGCGATTCCAGCCATCATCCTGGCATGCATGCTGCCCTTCTGCCCAGAGTCGCCAAGGCAGCTGATCTATCACGGCAAGGAACAAGAGGCCGAGAAGGTTATTCGAAAGATTTTCCCCAACGGAACGGACGAGCAAGTCCGGATGAAAGTCCGTCACATCACCATCCACGTCGAAGAGGCCAAGAACATGAACGCCGGAAAGTCGCAATGGTGGGTGCTTAAGCAGCTCTATGTTGTCCCAGCGAACCTACGCGCCCTGATTGCGGCGTGTGGACTCATGGCCATCAGTCAATTAAGTGGCTTTAATGCGCTTATGTACTACAGTCCCCTCGTAAGTCAAGTTCACGAAACTCTTGTTCCTTGAAAAGAGTATAGCTTAATGGTAAACCAGATTTTCTCCCTCGTTGGATTCAACAACCCTGTGGCAGTTGGAACCATCATTGCCGGCACCAACTTCATCTTTACGCTTGTCAACCTGTTGCTCGTAGATCGAGTCGGTCGCCGCAGGATTCTACTCTGCACGGTACAGTTCATGGGTCTATTCCTGGTCGTGGCCGCGGTCGCCTTCAAATGGATCCCCATCAACCATGATCTATCCCTTGGAGAGGGAGCTACGGTTGGACCGCCGGCCATCATCGTTCTCGTGAGCATGGTGTTCTTTGTCGGGTTCTACTCCTCAGGTATCGGCAACACAGCCTGGCTGAGCAGCGAGTTCTTTCCCATGGAGGTGCGCGCCATGGGCACCATGATGCTGACGATGAGCTGCTGGGGTTCCAATATCATCGTCGCCTCCACCTTCTTGACACAGATGGAAAACACCACGCCCTCTGGTACGTTTGGATTTTATGCGGCCATCTGCGTGCTCGGGTGGGTCTCAATCTATTTCTGCTACCCCGAGGTCAAGAATATGACGCTCGAGGATATTCGCGAGGTGTTCAACCACGGGTTCGGTGTAAAACGTGCCAGGGAGCTCCAGAAGCAGATGAAGGCTAGTCGAAAGATGGGATCGGTTTCGGAGGAAAACGTCAAGGTGTAGATAGGGCTGTGAGAGTTCGGGGCTTGCGTCTGCAGAAGGTCGAAGCGATGGGTGTTCTTGGGGTAACTGCGTTTCGAGATCGTTTAGACGGTAACGTGGTGAGTCCGAAGGTCTGTGGTCTGTACTCGTGTAGAGCCCGAAAGCTTGATGTTAAATGGCGGATAGAAAGAATAAAGGCTAGCCACCCACCTGCAGATGGACAAAGTCAAAATGTCTATGCATCTCTCGTCTTATTGGCCAGGGCCTTGGATCGAATGAGAATCAACGAAAGTTTTTGCGACATTGTGGTCTTCAGCGGCATCCTAAAGTTGAGTATGTTTATTAGGAACGAAGGAGAGAGTGAAGCAAGCTGGGGAAATGCAAGTAAGCATCAAGTGACAGGTAGGCTGTGGAGAACCTTTGGTCAGGTTGTAGGAATCACCACATCACGGTTGGCGGCCTAGCCATCTATTATCTGGTCCTGTGATGGATCTCAAGGCACTGCAGTATCAATCTCCAGCTCGGGCTGGGTGATCCATGAATCCGAGATCTACGATGTTCCGGTCTACTTTGAGCGGCATTGTCGCCCCTAGTGTCCGCTGCCGGCACGTGTTGGAGGGTGAGCAGGGGTTCCTCTGTGCTGCAGGCGGAAGCTACCCGGAGTAGAAGACTTACCTTTCCGGGAGTGTACAGGTATACCCCCTTCAGCTGCAGTCACCGTAGTCTCTTCGACAATTGATGCCACAGTTCCAGACATTTACGCCATGCTCCACCGCTCTTACGCGAGTTCGAAGCTGGTTGCCAGGTAGGAGAACTCTGTTATGCACTCACGGCAAGCCATGCCGGCCGAAAACAGCAGAAGTTTTCCGTCGTAATTCATAGCCTCTTGTGGTCTGAGAATATTAGGGGTACCATTTCAATTCATTCTACAGGAGGCAGATCGAAGTAAGTCTAAGGATTGTTGTACCCTAGCTGATGTGATCAACACATTTACCTTAGGCTATCAAACACGCGTGATCAAAAATGTGTCTTCCTTTCTTCCAACAACATCCAGAATTCAAAGCTATGCGTAGGCTTGAAGGCATTAAGCGTTTGAATGATTTAGTTCAGGACAGTCTGTTCCATATGTAGATTTCAGGCACCTCGAGACGAGATCTGCAAGGCTTAGCTTTAGCATGGTCGTCAACGACGACGAGACTCGCCCCTCTGAGCCCACTCCCACATCTCAAGAAAGACGGTAGGTCATTTTATCCATGCGGAACAGCCTTAGACCAAACCAAATTCGAGATGGTAATAAGTAAACTACCTGCCTTATGGCTGGAAAGGTTTGAGCTGAGAAGGAGATGGTTTTAGCTCGTTTCTCACCGAGATATTACACAGAGCATGCCAAACAGGGGTAGGCATCAAGTGAATCCTGCCCAGATTCACAAGAGTTCACAACCTTTAATATTTGAATTATCTCGGTGAGGCTGGGCGTTTCCCGGCTCATTCTATGTCCAAGAGAGCGATTGTCGACGCAACTCTGTGGAGTAAGGCTTCCATCAGGTTAGTAGAATGAGATCTCCGTCGTGAGTCGGGATCGGGACGCTTTCCGAGGGCTTTGTGACCTTAATACAATAGTGGGTAACAAGTCTCATAGTTGAATACTATGGATGATTATGTACAGGCGAGAGCAGGGGGGTATGGCTATGAGAATCACGGCTTGCATACCGGTCACGCCCTTCCATGACAAGCGATCAATGAGATAACCAGTCTGCAAGCGCGCGGGATGCGTCAGTGCGGTCCATCCGGCCAGCACAGCTTTGCCTTTACGTGATGTAGAGCAGGATTTTCGCCGAACATAACGTTTGGGTTGAACAGAGACGAGCTCTAAGAGTACCCCTGATCCGCTCTGTTTAATGGGTGCTAGAGCTCCCCGACTCCGTAGAGGGGCGTATGATTGGCTATGATGTAAAGAACCATCGTTACAAGGCATGCTACAATTTGGAAGAACCTAGATTTGATGGAAGAGCGGGCCCGGGCTAGGCAGACACTTTGGTGTTTAAAATTGGTGCTTTTTTTGTTTAAAAAGTTTGGCGTAAATCAGTGGCATTGGCTTCAGATGGCGATGGCATGCGTCGCCGTCGAGACAAACATGGGGTCATCCAATGCTGCCATTGGCCTGCCCAGTGTACCGTCGGCTTCAGGGACCCGAAATGGTAAGGTCAGAAGCTCGAACCTCCCCGACTTTACGAATAAGTTGTACGAAAAATCCCTGAGCAGGTAAGCCAAGCCGACGATGACAACATTCCGCACTTATTGCCCGAGTGAACCTGATCTTGCTCTTCCGCTTCTTCCATAGCAAAGATGGGCAGCTAGGTTACTGATGTTTTTAGGATGTTCTGGTTGGCGGCTCTTTAGAGGATGAGTTACGTGAGCTTTGCTCATGCTTCGAGAGTTGGAGAACTTTGTAATTTTTTTCAAATTTTTTTTTTTTTCGTCTGGTGTCTACAGTATAATACTGAGTTGCAACTGGCTTCGGAGTAGACGTTTTTGCCATGTCGATTGGTTGAGAATCCGTCTAGATGGACTTTTTCAAACGCTATCGAGGGGGAGGGCGCCTTCACCTCCGTGGGAGCGCCGCATCAATGCGACGAATTTGCTGCACTGTGCGGTGACCTTCGGCGCTCGACCTCCGTGTGGGTCTTGCGGCGCAACATATGGAGCTGCGTTCGGTGAGAGCGTGCTTATCGGGGAGAGTACACCGACGATAAGTAGATGGCCCCACCTGCCGAACCCAAAAATTTGACCCTGCAAGACGGCATGGGGAACTTTTCCCAGCCAAGTCGAGCACCTGAACCACCACACTGCATCAACACCAATTGACTGCAACACATAATCCACAGCCATGGCCGGAACAGCTACAAAGAAGCGGACAAATGATGGCCGCCTTGCGCCCCCGACCAAGAAGCAAAAGCGACAAGAAAAGAAGCAAGCCGAACCCGCCTCCGACAACGAAGAACAGGAATTCGATGCGGTAAACCTCCTCGATTCTGACGATGATATTCACAACGCGGCTGTCGACGACGGCGCTGCGTCAGACGACGACTCAGCCAGCTCAGGCGACGACAAGCCCGCAGCACCCAAACAGAAGACAAAAACTGCCCCCAAGCCCAAGAAGAGCAGAGACGCGCCCGTAGGCACCGACTCAGATTCCGACTCAGAAGAAGACGAGAGCGACGATGGCGGCAACCCCAATTTCATCAAGTCCAAACGCAATGATCCGTCCGCCTTCTCAACGTCAATGTCAAAAATTCTATCGACCAAGCTCTCCAACGCGAAACGATCAGACCCAGTCCTCGCCCGCAGTGCCGAGGCCCACCAGTCCGCCCAGGCGGCCGTCGACCAGGCGCTCGAGTCCAAGGCGCGCAAGCAGATGAGGGCACAGAAGAAGGAGGCAATGGAGAAGGGCCGCGTGCGCAATGTGCTTGTGGCGCCGGAGACGGAGGAGACGTCGACGGGGGAGATGATTGAGACGGAGCGGAGGCTGCGCAAGGTCGCGCAAAGGGGTGTTGTCAAGCTCTTCAACGCTGTGAGAGCGGCGCAAGTCAAGGCTGCCGAGGCAGAAAAGAAGGCGCGCAAGGATGGCGTCGTGGGTGTTGTGCGGAGGGAGGAGAAGATCAACGAGATGAGTAAGAAGGGATTCTTGGACCTGATTGCGTCCGGAGGAGGAGGTCTGAAGAAGGGTGGATTGGAGGAGGCTTAATTCAAAAAGGATACCAATGGCAAACCAATGTCGGCAATGCCTCTGTACTGCACATGTACAGGCAGGGCTGTTTCTTTTACCCCTTCGTTCACCAGATTTGTCCATCAGATTTGTCAAGGTTTATGTTTATGAGCTTAGAGGAGTGATGTTATTCCCTCCCAACGTTCCTTGATACCCGCCCATATCTAGCATACGCCGAGCCGAGCCGATGTATCCCATCCGTGATGCCGCGCTTGATTGATGAACACCTCCCCAGCTTTTTCTCCCCGCTAAACTTTCTTATCCTTTCCATTTCTGACATGGTGTATGTATAATATAGTACAGATATTAAATAATTGTGTGGTATGCCGCTTCCAACTCCGGAATGTTGAAAGAGGGTGCTTGCTATTTGAAATCGCTGGCCTGGAGGTTCCGTGTCATCGAGGGCAGCTTGATCTTGAGGCCGTCCAGCTCTTTCGTCATCGTTATCTGGCAGCCCAATCGACTTGTCTCGGTCAATCCAAAGGCCAGGTCGAGCATGTCGTTCTCATCATCTTCGGGCTCGGGCATTTTCTCGTAGTATTCCTCTTCGGCAACGATGACGTGGCACGTTGAGCAAGCGCAAGAGCCTCCGCAAGCACCTAGGGATAAATGGTTAGCATGTTATACGACCTGACGTTGCTGCCAAGAGTGCTGTTGCATACCCTCCATCTCCAAGTCGTTATCCTGCGCAACGTCAAGAAGGTTATCCCCTTCGCTTACAGCGATCTTGAACTCGTCCCCGTCCTTGTCGACGAATGTTACCCACAGCCTATGAGTTATCATCAGTATAAGCCTCCATAGACTGCTGTGGACGGTCTCACTCTTCGCCGGCCTTCGGAGGGGTGATGTGGCCATGCGCCTGGACAGCCGAAACTGAGAAAGCGCGCGCCGAAGGCCACTGAAGCTGTCTAGAGGGAAGCTGTGTCGGCCTCTTGGACATAATCTGGCTGTGGATGGTTCGGGTATGCCGTTGCATCGGGCGGGCCTGTCGGCATGCGCTGACAGCCATCCTGCTGAGGCTTGTGCTGAGTCTGGTTGAAGACATGGTCGCCGAGTATGAGTCCGTTCTCGGCTTCACAGCCGGGATTCTTTTTTCTTCTTCTCGGTCTAAGGGGAATCGATCGAAGCGCCCGTCGATTTCGGGAGCACGGTGGAAGACAGACAAGTAAAGTCGTAGAGTTATGAGGCAATTGTACACAGCGACACCACAGTCCAGCAATTAGATGAGTTGTTTAGCTTGCTCGGTTCGTGGGTGGTGGGTGCCCGCAAGCAATGACAAAAAGTTGTTGGAAAGCTTCGATAAATGCGCAAGGGAACTGTGGAGATGCATTGGATTCAGCGAAAATTCTATAGGCTCGGACGCCTGCAAGAGCTCCGATAAGGCCCCCACCCCTCGGGCTTATCGGCCGGCGATTTGCAATGTTCCGCCTCCGGAGACCTTGGCTCATTGCCCATTGAGCGGCCGGAAGGTACCTAAGGCACGGAGAAGGCACCACCTACGTAAGGTACCTTATGGGCCTTTCCTGCCGTCACAACCCTGAAAGGGGTGAATCCCATTGGTCAGTTCGTCAGCGGAGTCCTTTCAGCTGTTACCAAGCAGCAAGAGCACCAAAAAGCACCAGGGAAGGCGCGTTTACTGTCGTGTGCTGGCCCCGCTAGTCTTTATCTCCGAGGTGATTTCCATTTCATCATGCAAAATTGGTAGCAAAAGTGGAAAGCTCCCGAAATCATGCATCACGAGAGTTGAGCCATCAACAAACGCCGAACCAGACTATGGCTACTCATCGAGAAGGGGTGAATCCCTTGAGACCATACTACAAGCCGCCGACTATAGGAGAACCTCCTGATCCGACATCTGCCTCATCCGCACCGAACCCTTTTGCCCGTCATGGAGCCAATGCAACGAGCGAACGGTACGCGTCTAAAGCACGCGACATCTTTTCCGACATCGACTACAAGGACTATATCAGTGAACCATCTCCTTCAGTCGTTCAAACCGTCAAGGACCTCGTCGATGAGCTACTATGGAAGTACACCTCCGTCCTGATGGCCCAGCCTTTCGAGGTTGCAAAGACGATTTTGCAGGTCCGGAGTCACGATGACGTGACTTTGGCCGCAGTACCGACGCCCCTGGCCACGCCTGTCTCCGAGAGAAGGCGTTCTGGCTATGGCAATACGACATATGACGAAGCCGATTCGGACTCGGATCTCGACGAGCCTGCCTACTTCACCTCCAACGTCCCGAGCACACCGACCCCGTCCTACTCCAGGGACCATCGGAGCCGCCAGTCTCCCTCCGCCTCCACTCCTCCACAGACGCCAGCAGCGAAGCAGCAGGCCGTGCCGCCTCATCAGATTACAATCCGTCGATCCGACTCGCTGATGGAAGTCATCGGCCAACTGTGGCAAAAGGAGGGAGCTTGGGGTGTGTGGAAGGGATCGAATGCAACGTTCCTATACTCTGTGCTCTCTTCGCTGTTGGAAAACTGGTCCAGAAGTGCTCTGAGTGCATTATTCAACGTGCCAGATCTCGGTGTCAAGGAGGATATTGATCGGCTAATTGATATTGCCTCGCCCTATCCGTGGGCCTCCCTGTGCGTTGCCGCTGCTGCGGCCGTTGCAACGGGCCTCATTCTCGCACCTCTGGACCTGGTGCGCACAAGGTATGTCACTGGCTGTTTCGTTTTGACTCGGGTTCCAAGGCAGTGCTAACTCCGGAGGAAGACTTCTCGTCACACCAATTTCAAAGGGGTCGAGGAGAACGCTTTCGACTCTGCGAGCTCTCCCATCCTACGTCTGCCCCTATTCGCTCGCCATCCCCACGATCTTCCATTCGCTCATCCACCCCATCCTCACACTATCGACACCACTTGTCCTGCGGACTAGATTCCTTATCGACAGCCGCGTTTCTCCCACTACATTCTCAGTTGCCAAGTTCTGCGCTTCCTCGGTAGCATTGTTCGTCAAGCTTCCTCTCGAGACAGTCCTCCGGCGCGGCCAAGTTGCCGTCCTCTCCACCCCCGCGCATGTCCGGGCCTTATCAGGCAAGGACCAGAAGCTCGATACTATCGTTCCGGCTGGGCCTTATAAAGGTGTTCTCGGAACCATGCTCTACATTATGAATGAGGAAGGCACCCGGGCGATCTCCACCGCGCCCGCACCGGTGAAGAAAGTCAGGGGCGGCAAGCCAAAGATTGCAGAAACGGTCTACCGCAAGGGTCAAGGACTCGACGGCCTATGGCGCGGCTGGAAGGTCTCCTGGTGGGGCCTGGTCGGACTTTGGACCGCCGGGGTCATCGGGAACAGTGCCGAGGGTGAATTCTAGAAGAGGGATTTTCAAGCGAGCCGTTCAACGGCTGCTATGCAACAACACATCCAACCAACGGCCGACTGTAAAGTGCGAGTGCGAACAACAAAACATCCAACTGTAATTCTGCTGTACTAGAAGTGTACTTGGGCTGCGGGATTCTTGGCGTTATGGGAAACGGAAACTTTCGAAATCCTGAACAACTCTCTCCTCTATGACCATGATGAGATACGGTATGATATCCTCCTTTCAAATTTTGATCAAAGCGACGCAAAGGAAACCCCCAAGCATCGAGATGGTGTACTCTCTGTACCTTTTTCGTCCTGCTGGAATCCAAACTCCATAGTCTCAGGGGCCACCGAGCCACTACTCCTAATAGAACATTCTGCTTTAAAATTAGTCCTTTCCGTCACACTCTCTCAATTTTTCCCAATTTACGTGCGAATCCCAAGGTTGTGTTACCCCTCCGTCAGACTTAAATACGTCCGTATCTGTGGGATTTCGCTAGAACTTTCTTTGTACGACGCCAGAAACTGGGTTCGAGGAGGGCGCCAACCCATTTACCCACCAAGGCGTGCAGGGTGCCTGCATGGAGAATGCAGCTGTCAGTAGCACCAAGGGGCTCATCGTGGCAGGTCATCTGAGGATTTTGGGCATCTACTTCCCTTCAAGCCTCCAGGAACGCCGATGAGTCAATGTCAGGATATTTCCGCGCCTGTGACAGAGGCAGGATCTGCGAAGCCTTCCTCTACTTCGAGGCACCGGATGCTCGAGTGCCCGTCTGCAAGATGGGCGCCACAGGCTACCCAAAAGCTGTCTACATGCCATTCATGCACACTGCAAGCCTTTTCCCTCAGGATCCGAGGGGACATGGACCCTAGACGGACAAGGGCCGGTATCGTGGGTTCTCGTCCGATGACAGGATGTCATCGTACCTGGATTATCGTGTTGGCTCGTTGCAATAGGAGCTCCGCCTGCCTGGTCTCTTCACATGGGGAGGCGACCAAAAGGGGGACGACGTCCGACGGATGAGACAAAAACTTCAAAAAGGGACCAGCGCGGCCTGTTCTTTCGTAAACAGTCCTGTTGTAATGCAATCACCTCACACATCACATCTCAACTGGTTCTTTCTCGCTTCCTCGCGTATTCCAAACTACTCAGTTTCCTCCATCCACCTCGAACTAAGATCATGGCACGTACTTCAATCTTCCGCATTAGTTCTGCCTTGAACGCTATCCTCCTCACCTGTATCATTCTTAAGCATGTTGCGTTGGGTGTCGCGCGTTCTACAATGCGCAACGCTTGCATGGTCGTTCTCATGCCCTTCATGTTCTTCCACATCGCCATCATCGAAGGCTGAGACACCGGTCGTGGGCGCAAGCCCAAGGTGTAAGACGGAGATGACAACATGGAGGACCTGCCGCCACTGTCTTTCCTTGGTAAACAAACATGCACACATCACCAGCACACCTGCCGGCGCCTTTGTATCACACCTCATCGTTATTTGGGTTCGAGGCGTTGCCTTCTTCTCCATCCATATAAGCAACAAGGCATACTCCAACCGCCTGTCAACACTAGGGCAGCGTCAGGAGCGATGGTACCACCGCTCGTTCGGCCCGTAACGCTCCCGCGTGTCAATCTGTCAGGAAGTGCTCCGCCGAGACCCCATGCCACGGTCCATCCACATGGCATCGCTGCACCCCAGACGCCGGCCACCGCCAGTCTCGAGGCCCCGTCCCGGTACGAGAACATGGAACTGGGAAGCTAGAGTCCGTTCTCAGAGGCTATCTGTACCTTGCTGGGGCGTTCTTCTGCCCGGCTTTCAATTTCATGGAGGCGTTCACGTTAGCATCCGCTAAGCATGGCTGGGCCATTCTTGGACGAAAACGTCGGTTGTTCAGCAATCTGACTCTGGATTGGAGAGGAATTATTTGAAAGTTTTACAATCACCGCGCCTGTGGCGTTGGATTTGTCTTGTTTAGAACAACAAACAGCTATTTACGTACATAACTACCCAAAGTATTTTGCCAAATCCGAATGTCCCCTTCTAGTCTGCTTGTTCTCTCGTTTGGGACAGGCCCAATCACAAGACCGATGAGTGATTCAGACAGTTTCTTAGTTCAGCCCTCGGCAGGGACTCGCAGAGAGACACTCTCACTGAGCCCAGCACTATGAGCTCAAAGTAGGCGATGACTGACAGGTCAAAGTCTTGACATTCCAAGGTGCACTCTCCAGCTTACTGTCGCCTATCTCTGGTGCAGATTCTCACGTGATTCTCACACGATGAGGGGCAGCCACGTCCTCATACGTGTATCATCCTGTTCGAGGCACGATGTCGAGGATATGATTACTGATTTCTATCCCGGCGCCTCGCATGGAATGAAGATTGGAGACATCTCCACCATGATCTGACAACCTTCAGGTGTGGCTTCAGCTCCAGTAGCTTGCAATGATTCTGTGGGTATAATCAGCCTCCAGCCGACTCGGTGAGGGAATGGTCTGGGTTTGCCGCCCTGCCAAGTTGGTCCAGTAAGAAAGTCCGAAGAAGCCCGCGGAACCGCGATCGGGTTACACACGCCGCAGATGAGCAATGTTAAGACAATCGGTTACATGTCTTCACGCTATCGAGCTTGACAGGAGGCTAGACTGTCGGGGAAAGGCGCTAGTCGTTAAGCATCGTTTCGTCGTGTCTCCAGGCTTCACCGAACAGATTTGGCTGCCCCAGTCTCGACCGAGCTCGTTTTAAAGGCACATACACAATTACCGGCACATTTGGAAGGCCAGAAGCGTCTTCTTCGCTCCTTGGTCATGAGATCTGACTACTTAGAACCTAGCTCGGTTGTCCCTCATGGCCCGTCATCCTTCACTTGCGAATACGTGCTCTGGAAAAAGGGTTCTTCAAGACACTCTCCCTTGCATCCTTAAAGGCAGACTCTTCTGCGTCTAGCTCTCGCACATCGAACACTCGCTTATTCAGAGGCTCAACGTCGTTCCGGGTGACATTGGATATCAAGCTCCTGCTTCAGCCGCGGACCGGTTCCGCAGTGGGTGGCAGAGCGTCAAGACGTTTGCGACGGGAGGCAAGACTTTGATCTGGACATCGATCCACCTCTCTGATGCCATTAGTATCTCTTTTGAGGTTGAAAGAAAGGCGCTTAGTCTCATCCACGTGGCGTGTGATGGACTTCAAGCTGTCCCTGCTTCCGGCATCATGTTGGGGAGTCCATCGTGCCTCATGGCTCGGGACAGAAGAGTGCAACATTGAGGCACGCCCAAGAAGCCCAGAATCGGTGGCGAACTCATGGCGCGCCTTGAGCTTTCAGCTAGCCAGGGAGACAACGGCGAGACTCCCTTTCGCAAAATATAAGACCATGTGAGGGAACACCGATGCTTGGAATGTTTGACTCACCCTATCCCTAGCTCCCACATGGTGATCTCACGCAAATAAACTCAGTACTCAGCGGGGTTATCAAGTATAAAGTATCAAGATCAACGCTTCCCGAAGCGTCGACTCCGAACGAAAGGATCATCACTCTTTCAGATTTCGTTTACACACACTCGTTCTTTTCATTCGTTGCTTATCCCTTCCTCTTTCGGACGTTCTTCAACGCCGACTCACATTCTTTTTATACAATGGGCAACCGTAAGACATCTGGCCTTCTCGCCATCTTGGCATCTGCTGTTTCAGTCGCTGCTCACGGCCATGTCACCAACATCGTCGTCAACGGCGTCTCATACCGCAACTACATCCCCGTCCAGGACCCATACACCAGTAACCCTCCTCTCGTGGCCGGCTGGACGATAGACCAGCGCGACAACGGCTTTGTCGCACCTGACGCTTACAATGCCCCCGATATCATCTGCCACAGACAAGCAGTGTCTGGCAAGGGCCGAATCACAGTTGCTGCTGGCGATACTGTGCAGCTCCAATGGACGGAGTGGCCTGACAGTCACAAGGGACCCGTTATGGATTTCCTGGCAAACTGCAATGGGCCTTGCAACGCCGTTGACAAGACAGCACTCAAGTTTTTCAAGATTGACGGCGCCGGCCTTATCAATCCTCCCCAACAGACAAATCAGTGGGCGGCAACCGTGTTGATTAACAACGGCAACGCGTGGTCCGTCCGCATCCCGCCCAATGTTGCTCCCGGCCACTATGTTCTTCGTCACGATATCATTGCCCTTCACAGCGCAGGTCAGCAGAACGGAGCGCAAAGTTACCCCCAATGCGTGAACCTGGAAATTACCGGCTCCGGAACGGACAACCCTGCTGGCGTACCGGGAACCGCTCTCTATGGCGCCAACGACCCCGGTATCCTGTACAACATCTACCGGGACAACCTCAACGACTATGTCATTCCTGGTGGTGCCATCATCTCCGGCGGTATTTCCATGCTCCCGCAATCGAGGATCCAAATTATTGCCTCTGGTAGCGCTACCCCTTACGGCACAACGATTCGTGCGACCTCAGTCATCACGGCCTCCGTCAGTGTCCCAACTTCAAGTTCTGTTGTTGCTGGTGTCACTAGCAGGTCCTCAAGCACAATCAGCTTCGGCAACTCTACTTCGGACACTACCACCCTGATTCAGACTTCTACTACTGCTGCTACGACGACAATCACACTGACCCGCACAAGCTCGACCTCGAGCTCAAGCTCAAGCCCCAGTTCCAGCTCAAGTAGTAAATCGAGCACCAGCAACAACACTCCAACTAGCGCCACCAGAACAACGTCGCAGACACCGTCGCCAACGACCTTCCAGACCATGACCACGACGGCACCTCCCGCAGGAGAACCGACTCAGAACCTGTACGGCCAGTGCGGTGGCATGAACTACGCTGGTCCGACCAGGTGTCCAGACTACGCGGGTTGCACCACCATCAACCCGTACTACGCGCAATGTATTCCTGGTCCTGTACCTGCGGGAGCTCAGTCTCTGTACGGACAGTGTGGCGGTGTCAACTGGCCGGCTGAGAGCCCGACGTCTTGTGTCCCTGGCGCTACTTGCAAGACAGCCAACCCGTACTACGCTCAATGTACCCCGGCATGAGTGATATGAAGTTGGGTTGTGTCACTGGATGGTATTGCAGTGTGTTAGTTGATGTGGTTCAGCGTTGCATGATAGCCTGGGCGGTTTGCGTTATTTTCTTTCTGCTATTTCTTCCTTCTTTAACCTCATTATATGTATCCAGATGAACTATCTTCAATGGACCGGCTTTCTAGCAATCATCTGTGTCCCACTCGCTTTTCTTATTTCATGGTAAACCTCTGATGTAAGTCAAGCTCAGTGTTCTTTAGTGCAGGTACGTGGCCTCCGTCTCAGCTGTATACGGTGTGCCAGTCTATGTGTTATATCTACATTCGAGATTTTGCCCGCCGAAGGTCTGGAGAAATTTTGATGATGTCTTAGTCTAGAGGTCATACAGACTTAAACCAAACACTCATGAGTAATCGTAATATGCTAATGACCCGGAACCGCTGCCAGTGGCATCTTCAAGTCTATAGACCGATCGTCGATGAGGAAACCAGACGTGTTCCAGACCTCGAAGGCCAACCGGCGGCATCAAACAGTGTGACACTGCAGCTAGTTCCAGTCGTTGCCGCAAGTCTCAGATCGCAAGCGTCACAAGTAACTCTGCCTGCTTTGGCCACTTATGCTCCGGTCAGTGAATTCAGTACCAGGAAAAGAACTTTATCTTCGTGGGTTATCTTATATCTCAACTAACTAGAACCTTGCAAGAAAGCAAAATCACATGACATCGTCGAACGTCTTTATTGTGGTAGCCCACACAGAAGTGAATGAAGAGACAAGAAGGAGTTACTTGAGGCTAGCTTTCCATACAACTAAGAGTTTGGTGCATGATGCAGCAACAGCTGTCTGTGTGACCAATAAATCTAAGACCTAATATGTGACTGCAGGCGTTGTGAACATTGAAAACCTTCACATCGGATGATCGGCATACCACAATACCATGGTTCCAGTTGTGCCTGTTGTTCGCTTGATCATGTCTTCATTTGATACTGGCAAGCTGACTAGTATTGACGAAGTAAAGGTTTGAGGTCTGTAATATGACCTTCCTGGATACTAGGATCAGTATAAAGACACTGCCCTCTCGCTCATTTTTGCACCCCCATTTTGTTCCTGCCAACATCACCATCGGCATCACCAGCCAGGACTCAACTACCAGCACCAGATACTTCGACTGCAGCACTCCGCCCATCATGGCTCCTCTTTCTCAAATTGCCTCTGTCATCCTCTTTTTGGGAGGTATCATGGCATCTCCTACTGGGAACAACTGCGAGCAGGTCACCCCATACGTGCTCACAGTAAGCCACTCTCCTCCTGTAAAAGAAAATGTGTTACTGACCTACACTCCAGTACAAAGACATTGGCTCGAGTGCCTTTCCTATCTTGAATCCTGTGTTCCCGCCTACCCCTTACAAACAACTGAAGTACTCGGGCCTCGGAGTCAAGTCCGTCGGCGGGGCGCTGGACCCCAACCTCCGCGAGAACGAGTTCCTGGTGTACGGCACCATCACCACAGCCTCGACACTGGAAAACCCGTTGATCACCAAAGACTACAGCGGATCAAAGGTGAAGAGCTTTGAGCTGGAGACATTCGACTTCCAGTGCGTTCGCACCGGCCTCGAGAATATGAAGAGGGCTTGCAAGCTCACCGTGAAGGGAGTGGACGTGAACGGCAACACGATCACCGAATTCTGCTCATATGATCCCGATGTTCTTGGATCAAGCTTGGCAAAGTGCAACCTTGTGAATGAGAAGAATCTCAAGAGCGTCAGCTTTGAAACCACGAGTCCTATCACAGGAACCGCCATCACGTACTTGACGGCCATGGATAACCTCAAGGTTAACGTGAAGGCGTCGACTTGTTGATGATGACATGTGAAGACCATTTCATAAGGGCCAAGTCCTGGGCACTGAAACGGGGAGAGGGATTTCAACTTGGGGCATAATGAGAGTGTCTTTGGGGGCTGAAAGCAAGATGACATACACTTACACGAAAAAGACTTCGAAGTTGTTCGGAGGAGAGGACGTGGTCGGTGGTTGGGCTCCGGGCCAGGCGCCATTATCACATTCCTTAAAACCAAGCTGCAGTAGCTGCCATTCATTTAATCAACCTGAAATACAACACAAGCGCTTGCCACTGCAAAAATACCATCTCTTCCCTTAATGTAATTCAGCAAAGCTCATCACATCACCCGTAGCTCAAACACCTTCAATAATGTCCTGTTTCCTTTCCGTTTATCTGTCCTTCTGAGCCAAGCCGTGTTCCCACCTCACACTATGAAACAAATGCGTAAGGCTGGTCGAAACATGCATCCCAATCTGTAGAGTCTCCGTCCCAGAAGGTGCGCATGACATTCTTAGCGTGAAGTGGTAATGGCGTGGCAATGTCCTTGGCTTGCTCCAAGTAAAGTTCTGCTACAAGCCGACGCTTATCTACCCGAACCGAGGCTTCGATGCCAGCGACAACCAAAGGCCATTGGACGGATTTCTTGAGTTGGGGATAATTTTTTGTCTCCTCCATAAGAGAATAGAGGCGATTTCCATGTATGGTTCTCAGCATTGTCAGGCGATGGGCCCTGGGTAGGGCTCCAACGCTCTGCAGCGATGAGATGCAGAAGACGGCCACTGCAGAGTGGAATATCGCAGCGATGAGATCACGGTGATCCCTTTCTTCGTAGAAGGAGTCACAGTCTATTCCATCGAAGACTTCGATCCTCGCAACAATGTCCTCCGCAACTGCATTCGCTGTTGGCTTGTTCATCAACTTCTTGGAGACCTCAGCTCGAAGATGGTTAATCCGCAAAATTTCCAAAAATAGCGGCATCGGACAAGGAATGTGTGGATGTAATCCGAGTGGATATAACTCCTGGATCAAGTCAATGAACTCTTCTTGACCACAAATCGTAACTTGATTGTCAGGCGGACTCGTCGTATTCGCCGAAGTCATCACACTACGTCATCGTCGAGTTTAGCATCAAGGCGTTGATTTACCCATAAGATTTAGACTTACATCATAAAAGACAGGAGCAAGGCTTGGCGATATGGCTCCGACATGGCCCATCCCCGGGCACCGCCCCGACATGCGAGGATAGCCAGGAGACCGTCTACATGCTGTCGCCACTGGGGTGTTATGCATGCGTTGATCTAATGATGTTGGGTCAGCAATCATTGTGGACGAGAAGCCTCACTATTGATTTCGACTGACCTCGGACTGGAGGAGAAGGATGACCCCTGTCAGTACAACATCGCTACTCTGGGTCTTCGGATTGGCGAGATCTTCGTTGATAGCCCGTATCGACAGACCCCGATGATGGTGCATACGGTGTTGGGCATATGATATAGATGGGCAATCATTCTTCCATTCTTTTTGCACATGCATACGATGATGGTACACAATGCCCACCAAATTGTGCGCAATCGAGATCGGCAGATATTTGACGACCTTGAGGGGAATTTCAGCGATGAACACGTTGCTAGTTGGTGAGTGCCCCGACTTCGTGTATGGATAGAACACGTCGTTGACTGAATAATTCCCGTGTTAGAGAATTTGGCAGGTTTTGAGTAATGGCAAGATCTTTTGTCAAGTCTTGTGGTATGCAACTTACAATACTGGACGGCCTCGAAAACGTCGCAAATGTCAGTTCTTAGAGCGGAGTGAAAGACAAGCTCTCCGCCGTATTTATTCTTGCTTCTGATAAAGGCTTCGCTGTCTTCGGGTTCCCCTGGGCGTTTTGGCTTTGGCTTTGTCTTTGCCTTCGTGTCCTTCTTCGCACCTGTGTCCTTGTCTACCCCACGGCCTTTGCGTCGAGTACGACAAGTGATCTTTCCAGGTGCGAGCCAAGTCAATGGCTTTCTGTCGTCATAGCCAGGGCAAACGATGCCGGAAGCACGACACTTATTGCAGACTGGCTTGACAGAGTCGCAGACAAGTCGACGACGTTGACATTCCCAGCAACGTCGTTTCTCTGGGATCTCCGGGGATAATGATGGCTGAGATGCCGGCAACATTGTGTTACGAGACGTGGATCAGGTCCGAAAAGGTGCAGTTCAGCCCTACCCGACTGACAGGTTGATATGCACCAGCGTTACCAGATTGAGTAAGAAGAAGTCGACGGGACGAAGGGGTCGAGGGTTTGATTGCGGAGGGGCTCTCAACTCAGGCCAGATCCGCATAGGCTTGGATTTCTTAAGTATCCTATGCTCCGAGCGCGCGGGTTGCCTTGCTTGAGCCCCAGTGTACAACACCAAGTAAGCCGATTCACTTGGCAGTTGGTCTTGGCCAGAGTATTTTCCTATTAGGGTAAAGACTGCCATGTTGTGCTTCGCCTTGGGGGCAACAGGTACAACCGCCGATCACCATCCCCTCAGCCCTAGGGGACTCAACGTCGTAGCCAATGCGGGAGGGATGATGGGTATGTGGGGGCTTATGGTATCGCAAACCAACAAATCACTGAGCATCACGGGCGCCTGCTTATGTCTCAAGGATGATATCATTGTCTTTCTTCGCCCTAGAGTTGGCCCGCCGAAAGGCCAGTTAGGCAGAAGCAATCCGCAGACCTACTGCATCGGTCCTCATGGTGGCAGTGGGTGTTCAAGGGATAGCAGGACCCCTGTTCTCAGCTTGCTGCTCCCACTTTCAATCCAAGCTGTTGGCGGAGACCTTTGGCTGGGACCAATTGGTTTCGGTTCAACTTACAGCCAAATCAAAAGACACAAACTAGTGAGCTCTCAGTATGATAAGAAAACCGAATCGCCACATGCAAATGAAATAAGCCTCAGACAATAAGTGTCGAAAATGCATCAAAAGTCAAGCCTGGTACCCACCGGGCAATGGCAAGATCAACGTGATAAACAACCGCGCGCCATGCAAACTGCGCCTGGCGCCGGCCGTCCCGGAACGACCACACCTCGACCACACCTCAAAACCGCCTTCATGGAAAACGAGGGATTCTATCGAGGCTTAGCTTGCCTGCAAGCCATTTCCAAAGCGTGGCCACGAACATGTTTGCCTTGGCGGTTGTAGACCGACCATAGCTTTGCGGCTGTCAGCGAATGGCTCTCTTGGCACCGCGACGGTGGGTCGCCAATTGCGGCAATCAGATAACATCGCTTTACGGATTCGAGATGTTTCGACCAAGGCCCCGGGCATGGAAATAGAGAGTATGCCATTGAGCTGATTGCCCTTACTGCTACTTCTTATTAAAATGGCGGGAGGCAGTCAATCACTTACCAACTTTGCTCCAAGCCCTATCGTCTGAATTGATTTACGATAGTATCAAGGGGGCGGATAATGATTCCTCGATTGCGTGGATTAGCGTGAGAGCCACACGTCTATACAAAAGCAATCCCACTTGGTTTCGGGTTGACAGCTCGTGTATCTATCATTAATAGCCAACTCGCTCCTTCTTTCTTCAAATGATTGGTGATTACTGGGAACTTCGGTTTGCTTTGCTTATCAAGCAAGCATCTCTAGAGCAAACATGAACAAACTCGGCAAGTCTCCGCGATACTCTGCGGGGTATTGCGAGGAACACGGGGCATCAGAGGTGACAAGAGCCCCATTGCCATTTTCCTCACATATGATTTTTGATTTGAGCCGGTCAAAAACTTTGTTTTCTGTTGCTCGTCTGAATTCACCATTCCTTAGTCACCTGTCACCTCAAGCCACAAGCTCCACGTTAACCCCGCGTCACCTACCAACCTTACACAAGGTACCTAAAGTACCCATCTAGACAACAGTCTCTTTAACTCAGTTCGACACAAGGATGAACGCCGGCCGTGTCATCAACGTAGTGGGCTGCCACGCGGAGGGTGAAGTTGGTGATGTAATCACCGGCGGTGTTCTGGATGTGCCGGCTCCGAGCATGTGGCACAAACTACAGCACTTTTTGACGCATAAAGACGAGCTGCGTCAGCTACTATTGAATGAGCCAAGAGGAAGATCACCAAAAAACACGAACTTGATCCTCCCGCCATGCAACCCCGAAGCCGCTGCAGGATTCCTGATTATGGAAAGTGAGGAATATGCGCCAATGTCCGGGTCCAACACCATCTGCACGGCGACGGTACTCTTACAGACAGGGATGATCCCCATGCAAGAGCCAATCACCAAGTTCTCTCTAGATACGGCGGCCGGTCTGGTCGGCGTGACTGCGGAGTGCCAAGGTGGTAAATGCAAGTCCGTGGCCTTTGAAAATGTGCCCGCCTTCGTGGACCGGTTCGATCTGCAGGTCGACGTCCCGGGGATCGGGACCGTTTCCGCCGACATTGTCTGGGGCGGAATGTGGTACGCGATCGTGGACGCGGCCTCTGTCGGGATGACCATCGAGCCGAGCAAGGCGCGAAGCTGGTGGAGCTTGGCGAAAGGATCAAGTCAGCCTTGAAAGCTGCCTACACGCCTCATCATCCGGAGAACCCAGAAATCAAGGGCATCTCGGTCCTCGAATTTACGGAGCCGCTTCACCAAGATGCTGTTGGGAAGGTCGCCAAGAACACTGTCGTTGTATCTCCCGGGCGTCTTGATCGCAGCCCTTGTGGTACAGGCACCAGTGCGCGGATGGCTCTGCTGCATGCCAAGGGCCAGCTGGCGGTCGGAGAATACTTCAAGCACACTAGCGTCATTGACACAGCTTTCGAGTGCCGCATCTCTCGGACTGTCAAAGTCGGAGATATTGATGCTGTAGTGCCGATAATCAAGGGCAGAGCATGGATTACTAGCTACAAGCAGGTCGTCTTGGATCCAGAAGACCCCTTTCCTACCGGATTCAGAGTGGGGACCAATGGCATGTCCCTGATATCGAGTCCTAGTCAGAGCTGGGTCATCGAGGCGGAAACATTTAGATGTTCTGAGTCAGCTATAGACAGAGAAATAGAGGAAAGCCTACGAAACTTGACCGGAATAATACCATATGATAATCCTGCGATACCGTGCCACGTATGTATTGTTAGCTTCTAGTTCCGGCCCCGCCCCCGGTGGAATAATGCCACTCAATGACGGCAACGGAACAGATTGAGACTGAGAGCTCGTGGCCCGAGATTGTCGACTAACCTGTGGATTTATAAATGAAGGATATTCAATATTCAACACGAGCTACGTTGATTTTGTACTAGTTGGTTGCGCCATGGTGCCCTCCAAAGCTTGAGATCCCGAACCGAATGGCGCTTTGTTTCTCAGCCGAACCGAAGAGAAATTGCGGGGGAGTTGAGACTACCTCCCACCCCAACCCCCCACTCCGGGGAACGGGGTGGCCCATGTCTACCCCGGATTTCAATTCGGGCCAGAATCTCCAATAATGGTCAAGATATTGAAATAACAAGGCTGTCAGTCGCGATGTATTCACAGAAGTTATGTCTTCTATCCCCAATCATCACCATCAAGACAACATTGGGTGCATCAAACTTCCCTGCAGTTGCGACGGTTGCTCGCAGTCGTAACCCGCAGGTGTCTTCTTCTTTACAACACCTCGGACCACCTAAACAATCTTCAACTACCTGATACTCGATCAGCCTTCAAGATGACTTCGTCTCTTCCTCTTGGGAGTAGTGGCGATGCGAAACACAACAATCAAATTGAGCATCTCGAAGACCTCAGCAAGCCGGGCTTGCAAGACAAACACGATGGCCATGTGGAAGGCAACGCACTTCTCATCAACCGAGATGGAGAGATTCGCAGGATTCCGGTTCCTTCCTCTGATCCAAGCGATCCCCTTCGTTTCAGACCTTGGGAGAAGTACGGCATTGTCTTCTGCTGCTGCTGGTTTTCTAGTATGGGCTTGTCGATTGCCAGTGGCCTGGGTGCAATTTTGCATGAGTTCTTCGCTATGTATGGCCCTCAAGGCTATTCTTCCGAAAACATTGTTCTCCTGATTACTATTCCAACATTGTGCATTGGTCTTGGTAAGTTCCATCCTAACTTAAAACGCCGCCGTCCAAGGTTCAATAGCGACTAACAAACGTTATCACCATCAGGCAACTATATCATCCTTCCTCTTGCTCTGGCATATGGTCGCCGCCCAGTATTCCTGGGATTCATGATCGTCCTTCTGATAGCGACTATTGCTGCCGCTTTGCAAAATAGCTACAACGGGCATCTTGCTGCCCGAGTGGTTCAAGGCTTGGCTACGGGTGCCTCAGAGTCTCTTCTGCCGCTTATGCTCACTGAAGTTACTTTTCTCCATGAGCGTTCGAAAATCTTTGGCCTTTACTGGATGGCACAAAATGCGATATCCTCTACTATCAACTTGACCTCGTCATATTTGAACCATGACCTGGGATGGCGTTGGTATTACTGGGTCTTCGTCATCACTGTTGCCGTCGGACTGGTCATTGCGTTCTTTTTCGCTTTTGAGACACAGTTTACCCGCCAGCCCGAGTCGCTCGATGGACAAGTCGTAATCACGGACGATTTTGGTGTCACACGTGTCATCCCAGACTCTGAAGCTCAAGCGTACCTCGAGGAGATGGAACGGTCTGGGCTCACGGCCCCGGGCGCCAATCAAGCGGCCGAATCCCTTGAGAGAAAGTCGTATTTGCAGCGTATCAAACCTTGGTCGACACCGCATCCCCAGCCAATGCGAGTAATGATCTTGAGTTGGAAGCACATGGCGGAATCATTCTCGTCCCCAGGAATCATTTATGCGGTCTTGACATCTTCCATTGCTCTTGGCTGCGGTGTTGGCATGTCACTGACCTACAACACTGTTCTGGTGACGAACTATGAGTGGAAGTCGGAAGATGTTGGGTTGATCAACATTGGCGGCGTCATTGGCGCTGTTCTCGGCATGTTGTTCTGCACATTCGTCGGCAATCCCTTGGTCATGTACCTCGCCCGTCGGAATCGAGGCGTTCACATCCCGGAACACCACCTGGTCGTCTTAGCTTTACCCGCCGTCGTCGGTGTGGGAATGCTATTGCTGTATGGCTACACCGCATCAGGGGGCTACACATGGTGGGGTCCGTACATCGGCTGGACCATCTTCCAGTATTCCTTCACCTCCGTTCTCATCATTTCCACTAGCTTCGCATCTGAAGCCGCGCCCAAACATCCCGGGCCGGCTCTGGTCGTGGTCGTGGGAACTAAGAACGTGGTCTCTTTCGGTGTGACGTATGGGTTGACTCCAATGGTTGAGAAATGGGGATATCAAACCGCCTTTGGTGTGTTGGCTGGTATCTTTGGCTTCATCTTCCTACTCGGAGTGCCTGTCTATCTCCTCAATCCGAGATGGCGTGCTTATATGTCGGAACGAGAGAGCAGAACGGCCAGAGACTGAAACCGGGTCGTCACTTACTCCAATCCATGATTTTGCATGTACCTCAGCTACCTTATTGGAAGGTCCACGATGCCAACCAGGTGTGCCCAGATGAAGTAGACAATGTATATCATAATGAATGATGGGATTGCGAGATTCGCGTTATTTCTTTGCAAGTCAAATGTTCAGGCCATGTGCTCATCTTTCTCCCACATTGACGCTAGCTTTGGAGTCGCGCTTGATGGAACCTCGCCATTCTTGGCTATAACCTTAGGCCCAAGTTATACCTATGTAAGTGGGATGAACCTGTTGACTCAAGGAGTGCAGCGACCCGACAGGACATATCTGGTTAAGGTCGGTTCAGATCAGGATGAAATATGCACTCAAGACCCTAATCTTCAATGAAGAGAAGAGTACGCCATGATTTCGGTCAAGTTCTTTCATCCCGGTTCCTGCACGCAACCCGAAGTTCACGGTCCGCTATCGCTATGGACAATCTCGGTTCGGCTTGGCTCTTCACACCACGGCGCCCTTCCCGAGCCGAAAGGCCCACCGCACTTGCATCCAGTGCGTACGAAGAAACATCAGCCGAAGAGTAACGGAATGCCAAGGGGGAAGAGTACTCCTTCATAATTGCAGTTCTTCTTCTTTTGGTCCACTGCCCCGATTCGAAGGTCCAATTTCTTCACTGTCTCCATGATGAGTCGTGGGTGAGGGTGACCGACCCGCACAGAATCCCACATTTGGCAAGGCCTGGTAGGCCGTCGGATAGGATACTTCCAGCTTAGTTGCTTGATTTTAAGAACGACGAATATCAAAGACTCATAATTTCTTGGACCTCGCCGGTTATTTGGAGTTTCGACCGATTTCAGTGAGTGCAGCGAGACACGTTGAGTGAGTCGTGAAATGAGATTCATGAGGTAAGGTATTACATAAGATGTGAGTGAATCCAAGGGGGTCTCAACACATGGGTCACATGACCCACGCGATGCGAGCTCCTGCGGTGAACGCGTCGACGCGTTTCCATCGTAATTGCCGGGCAAGCCTACCTTAGCACGCAAAGCTACTTTCCCAATTGGGACGTCATTGATCTCGACCTCAACCACCATCCGCCAAGGGATTCGGCAGTCTATTCCAATTGTGTGAACTGTAAATTCCATCAAAACCTCAATTGTTGCCGACGATGGATGACGACTTCGGCTTCGACTCGGCTGATGAGGCCGATCTCCTCGCCGTAGTGGACGCTGCTCCCTCTGCAGCCAAGCGGCTCAACGAGGATACGGACCAAAGTGAAGAACCGGGACCGAAACGACACAAAGGTTCCTCTGACCATTCGGTGTTGGCCCGCAGAGTCTTGCAAGAACGATTCGGCCTCGAAAGCTTCCGTCTGGAACAGGAAGCCGCAATCAATCGCATCATCAGTGGCGACAGCGCTGTTGTAGTGTTTCCCACCGGCGGAGGCAAGAGCCTGTGCTACCAGGTATGGGAAATTCTGCTCAGAATAGTCACTTATGTCTAATCTGAAAAGGTCCCTGCCGTGGCTATAAAGGAGCTTGACAAGGAAACAGGATCCCGTAGCCCAGAAGAAAGTGGTGTCACGGTCGTCATTTCTCCCCTTATAGCACTGATGAAGGACCAAGTCGATGCTTTGAGACGCCGAGGTATCTCTGCAGCCGTTCTAGATTCGACGCAAAGTCGCGAAGAGTTCGTCGATATCCACAGCAAGCTGGCGTGTGGCAAACTCGATCTTCTATACTGCGCACCAGAGCGGCTCAACAACGAGGGCTTTCTTGCGTCTCTGAAGTCGATTCGTGGTGGCATTCGCTTATTAGCGATTGATGAAGCACACTGCATTTCAGAGGCATGTCTCAAATTGTCACAAACTTACTGTCTGATTCGAATTCTGTTATCTGACGGCATCGCAGTGGGGACACTCGTTCCGCCCAGACTACCTCAAAAGTCGGTTCCCGATGCGGCCACTGTCTCTGCTTTCACTGACAAACGCTTTCAGTCGCCCGTTTTGCCAAAGAAGCCAATGTGGAAAGAGTCATTTGCCTCACAGCGACCGCGACCGCAGCTGTTGCTAAAGACATTCGAACTACTTTCGATATCCCGCCCGAGGGTCTTTTCGTGACAAGCATGTACCGATCAAAGTCAGTCAGGCAATGACAATATCTCTCTCTGTTAGCATCATGCTCACATCTCCTAGCCTTCGACTATTGGTCGAGCCTATCACTGCAGATGACGACCAAGTCGAGATTTGCACTAAATTCTTGAAGAAACACCCCGGGCCATCCATCATATATGTCACAACCCATGCGGTAGGACTCTACTCACCTCTTAACGGGAATTTGCTAACCTTGATGCAAATAGGCTGCAGAAACTCTAGCCAATGAACTGTCTAAAAAGAAGTTCAGTGCTCGTGCATACCACGGAGGATTAACCGCGGACGTACGGGGCGGAATACAAGACACGTTTCTCAAGAGTCAAAACATGATCGTGAGTTTGACCGGCAGCCTTCGTAGGAGGGAGTTCTGACATGTGGATCTTCTATTAGATTGTGGGCACAATCGCCTTCGGCATGGGTATCGACAAGGATAATGTACGGACCATCATCCATTTCGATCTTCCAGGCAGTCTCGAAGCCTACAGCCAACAGATTGGGAGGGCTGGACGAGACGGTAAACCAAGCACGTGCATGCTCTATCTTTCGGACAAGGATTTCTTTGTCAGAAACGTCTTTATTCATGGCGAACGACCGTCCATGCTGGCTCTACGCGCACTGTTTGAGGAGATATGTAGCAAGGAGAACTGCCAGTTGAAGCCCGGAGACCCCTTCTCCGTGGCTATCGCATCGCAATCGCGGCGGGTAGACATTAGGGTTTGTCGAGTCTATTTTCCTTACTTCGTGTCGGCATTCGTCTTAACTAATTGTGGACAGGAGACTCAACTTTCCATAATCTACGCCTACCTAGAGCTGAAGTTCGGTCTTCTTCGGGCTAGTACTCCTCAGTACTCCGAATACAAGTATCAGGTGCTACAAAATCGTGATCTTGAGGCCGACGGCTCAGCAGCATCGAAGTACATTTTATCCCACTCTAGAAAAGCGCAAACCTGGACAAATATCGATGTTGACGTTCCTGCTGGGAACGGCGGAGTAAGCCGCGCTGATATCACCCGCAAATTAGACTCGTGGGCCGAGTCTGGCATCATCAAGCTCAGCAAGACAGGTGTCCAAAAGGTCTTCCGCGTCAGCAAGCAACTTCCAAGCAAGCAGGCCGACATCGACGAAATCATCGACAACATAGACAAGGAGATTGTGAAGAAGGAAAAGCAGGATTTGCAGCGTGTTCAAGACCTGGTCAACCTGCTGACAGACGAAAGCTGCCTTACTCGTGGGCTGGCAACTTACTTTGCGGATACGACCCACTCTTCAGTCAAGGAATGTGGCCACTGCACATGGTGCGAGACACACCAGCAGGTTAGGCTACCGGGGTTTACCCCCAAACCTTTGGATGAAAAGGCCATGAGAAGAGTATTGGCCGTATGCAAAGAAGCCTGTCAACAAGAGGCGAGTAAGGCCAAAGGTGGTAAACCGAAGACCACATCACTTCAGACTAGGCAGGCACTGGCCAACAGCACAGCCAAAGACGATGCCCGGTTCATGGCCTGCGTGGCTTTCGGTATTCGGACACCCCGGGTCAGTAGCATGAGCCTACACAACAACAAGGCTGTGTTTGAGACAATGAGCACCTGCAACTTCAACGTAAGTACATTCCGGGAAAGTCAAGAATTAGGTTTCCCTGTGATCATCGAACTGACCTTGGATCAGGATCTCGTCCAGAAATTCGAAGACATGATAAAATAAAAGAAGTGATGGATTTCCGAGGTCTCCATCAATGAAATCACTATCACGCAAAGGGCAACTCCAGCTGGGGGCACACAAAGTAGCGGCATTATTCCTGACTGTGTGGCGAATTGCCGAGCTATGTGTGTATCAATACCTTGGTTTGACTGCGAGTCCCTGGCAAATACTCGACTAGAATGCTACATCGTGTATCCAAAAGGTATCTATCGCCCTGGACTTCAGCCATAAACGCCTGTGGGGTGATTGGTAGATCTAGAACTAAAAAGCAAGTACAAAAACTGAAGTTAACCCGCTGACATTGATGTCCGGATCAAGATAAGCCCTTGCGCTGAGTTCAAGGGAAATCAAATCTTTAATCCGAATCTATCAAGGCACCAAGTACAGCCAGTCGACTGCCTCTGCCAAGTACCCTTTCTCAATGGAATCCTCGTCTCGTCCATCAAAGTCGAGTTTTTCTTCTCCCTCGTTTTCCTCCCAAGTATCACAAACAAACACTTGCAATTTACAATGTTTGCCCGTCTTCTTGAGTCTCCGAAGGTGCTCCTCCAACCAATAATGATATGCAAAATGGTTGTGGTGGTAGTCTCGTGCTCGTACGATACGCAGCTTTCGTAAAGATTTTGGGAGCTGTCGTAGAATGTTTTCATCCTGCGTGCCGGCGTCCTGTAACTGCGTTGTGAAGGTTTCCAGATTACAGAGCTTGTGTAGAAGCAGACTCGCTGTTTCTCCAGTTGATCGATCGGGGAATCGGACACTTAGAGCTGTAAGCGTCTCTTTGTGTTCGGCCAACTCGTCGATCATATCCACCATCTGACTGACACTCGACACACATCTGTCAAGTCCGAAATGACATAAATGCTTTGGTGTCGAAATCATTTCCCTGATGAACGGTTGCATGTTCAAACTTGACCAGATGGATATATTGGTGAGCTTTTCCCAAGTTTGCGATCCGTCGAACCATGCGTCGTCGAAACGTTGTATCTTGAGAGTTGTTAATTTTGGGGCATTCTTTGATATAGATTTGACAAGCTCCATTGGAAATCGGCCTGCGCGAGGTGTGCATTTGATGTGCAGGGTTTCCAAGTTGGGAAAGACGTCGTTTTCCACTAGAAGAAATTTGTCCAAAACCTCATGGCCTCGGTGATCTATACTCAAGATGTACTCAATCTCAAGTTCCCTCAAAGATTTGGCCATGAGAGGGACCATTATGGCAAGTATGTTGATATGGCCGCCGCCATTCCATCCTCCTGGGTAAACTTCGAGCTCCATCTTCCTAAGTGTCTCTTCGATGAACGGGACATCGTCTTCTGACAATCTCATCTCTTCCTGACGGGGAGATTGTTCTGGAACATAGATAGGAATGCACACACGTCGCACATGTTGTGTTAAATCTGGGCGGGAGTCCCAACCTCTGATGAGAGATATCAGGTGGCTGTGTCCGGGTTTTGCCATCCAGACGTACTTGAATAGATTTCGTCCGACCAGCTGTTGAAAAGCTCGACACGTTCGACTGAGTGCCTCTAGGTCTGACAACTTGCTCTTAAAACTGGCGTCTACCCGGTGCAGGTGCAAATACGATGGCGCAGTCGAAAGCTGATCAAAAATATGTTGGATAACCTCCGGCGGTAATTTGGCAATTCCCACCATCGCCTTTTTTGTGAATGTATTTCCCCGTAGATTCATGGGTTCCGGCGTGGAATTCAGTTTCGTCGTGAAGTGCAGTGGATGTTGAAGGTAAAATGTTGGTGAATGCAGTCAGAGGAGGCGTTTCTCGAAGATGTTCTCTGTCATGGCCCATCTATAGCATTTATTCCAGAAAACTTTGTTATGCGGACCAACCGTATGAATCTGGATTCGGTTCGAGTCAGATAGCCGTTCCTATCAAAACAGTAACCTGTGTAGATACTTGTCTTCTAACCTTCAAGGTCCGCCAAGATAGTCATCGGCCTAAGTAATACATGTCGACACGTACTGGCATTCCAAGCTTAGCATCTGACCTTCTAGATATCCACAACATCGAGATCTTCTCGAGTATTTATGGATAGCTCACACTCATATTGCAGATCTACTTTCAATAGTGTGTTACCGGACTTACACATTCAAATCACGGTCAAAACAAGGATGTGTTGCCATCTGCCGTGGGTCCTCTGCCGTAGTTACCTTTGTAGAAGTAGTTCTGAGGAAACGAAGGAAGGAGGAGCCCAGACTCTTGTTCACATTAGATGTTGCCAAGCGGACTACTAAGGATTTGACCTCTCTTGCACGCACTGACATTGTTCTCCAAGGGAACTGCAGGATATGTGTCGCATTATGGAGTACCTTAGTTATGCCTGGTGACAGATTCCTTCCTCAACACGAATTCCTTTCTCAGTTCATCAATCTCAGCACCATCAATACATGTCCATAGCAGCTGTCTTCCATGCTAATCAATTCTCGGATTTTCATCCCATCGTAGATTATAAATTGTCCATAAAGATTCGCCCAAGGTGATACGTGTATTGACTGATGAAGCTCTTCAGAGTGACCTCTACTCCATCTCCTCAGTCTCCTCGGCCTCCTCCGCAGACCTCTTTCCGCCCTTCTTCTTACCGCCATTGAGTGCCTGTCAACTCCTGTCAGTATCTTTATTTTACTCGGCGCATCACCGGTTACACTTACGGCCTGCTTGTTCTTCTTGTTCTGCTGCTCACCGCCCTTGAACTCGCCCGAGAGCTTGTTGAGCGTAGCCTTATCTTGCTTAGAATTATTGCCCTTCAGACTCTTGGCCTGCTTCGACTCCTTGGCCTGTGCACCTTGAACCTAAAAGGGAACAGTCAGATCTAGGACTTTTGAAAAAAAGACGAGAGGCTCTATTTGCCGTACCTTCTTGAGACCATCATTCAACTGCTTATTCTTGGGATCCGCGTTCTTCTGGTTCTTCTCGCGTTGCTTCTGTCCCTTAGCGATGTCCTTGTTGAGCTGGCCCGATTGCTTCTTGAAGTCCTTTGTGCCTTCGGCCTTTTGAACCTTCTTGACGTCTTTTTGCTCCTGCTTTTGGATATTAATGTTCTTGTCGATGCCAGCAGCCTCCTTCTTCCTCCCCGCCGCGCTGCCCTTCTTAGATGCGCTTTGCGCCCGCTCAACAAGTGCGTCTACCGGTGCCGGCACGGGCAGAGCAACAACGAAGGTGAAGAGGAGGAAGAGGGAGAGGATGAGCTGGGGAACGCGCATTTTGGCGGTTTGGTAGTATTAATGATTGATTTGAATAAGGTATTAAGGGTCGACGCCGTCAAGACTGTGACTCGATGGACTGAGATGAGAATGAGATGGTGAAGAACATATGCTTCTTTGAATGCACCTTTGGGCAGTTTATATACACTCAATTTTGGGCCCAATGCTCAATAGTCAATGGAAGAGCTTGTTGCGAGTCATCATCCCAATTCCTCAGCAACTGCACTTCGTCCGAGAGATGTCGACGGATCTAGCCACCATACATTGGCAACGTTCTTCTGCCCTAAGTCGTGATGCTTTCGTGATCGTTTCGCCCTGCAGTAGAGGAAGCTTTTCTTGCGTCGCACACGAGGGCAATTACGCCCGCGAATCATCTGAAATCAAATGATTGTTGACAAGTGACAAGCTTTTGGGTGGAGTCGAAACGAAGAAAGTTTAGCCGCACAAGTGTTTTGGGCTGAACCTAGATGCCAAGACCTTTTGCGCCCTTTTGATTTTCGGGTCACATTCCACATTAGATGCCAAGATAGATCGGACTCGTCTGCACATGCACACATGCATGTAGCGTTCTAGCGCGAAACTGGTCAGATTAGACGCGGAGACGAAAAGAGAAAGGGACATGAGAAGAACGATCATGGTGCTTACACCTAGTGCATGGAGAGACAGTACAAGTATGTTCCTTGTCTTGGTCCTTGGACCGAACATATCGTACTTCCAGATTGTCCAGCATTCGCGCCCGAATCGTATAAAATCTCTCATTTTATTCGAACACAAGATGGCAAACTACCGTTTTGGGAAAGTGTGGGAGAGTCATAATCCGCGCAAGACGAAGGATGCATGAAGCTGGAACCACTCCAGCCCTGCGACGGAATACTCCTGCGTCTCAAGTGCACACACCGATGAGCTGACCATCCAATTAGTATAAACCTTACAGAAATGTAGGACCATGGCAGAAAGATATGTCTCTTGTCTTGTCCGCCTCGTTTACTTTGTCTTTGTAGGTCTAGGCTTGTCTCTGTCTTTGCCATCTAGGTAGAAGAGTGACACTGCTTCGTGAAGGCTACAAGAGCCATAGGCAGGGGAATATGAGACCACGCACTGGCACAGAAGAGAAGGAAGCTTGTCAAGCTTCCGGCATCCTGTACCCGCAATGCTGCTCTTCCCGTCTTGTTAAGCGCGGACAGCGGGGTCGGCCTCTGCCTTTTGTCCGCACTGCCGCTTCCCCGCGCTAGGTGGAACAAAGGAAAGTTTAAGCTCTCTTGACATGCGGTAACTTGCTCGAAACTCCTGACTAGCGCCGGAGTACTTAAGCTTCTTTTTCATCTTTGTTTTAGCACCGTTGGAGGCTTAAAGTTAGCTAATGACTTATTCCGCAAAACATCCTGATGGTAAACAATTGTTTAGAGTGAGGGAAAAAAGTCCGACGGTTAGTTTTGGGATAGGACTGCTGGGGAACCCCTGCGTCGATCACGGATCATCGTCTGAAGACGATTTTCTTAGAGGATTTGCAATAAGATCTTCGTCGTCCAAAAAGCATTGCCAAGAAATCCATCGCCAAGAGCTGCCTTCAGTACGATACAGCCAGAGAACACTGTCTGAGCGGCTGTCACTATCGCGCACCACAGACACCGCATACCTTAGTTGATGCTCACATCACAGAGAGCATTCAAAGTGCATTGGGGATCTATCGAATCCTCTCCAGTAGCCTGTCCGTAGAAGATTTGCTGATAGCTCATCGACCTTATTTTCAGTCATGGGCTATCCTAAGCGCATGCCAAAGGAAGGTTGGGTTTAGGGCAGACCCGGCACTAGCAAGAGCTTATTAACGACGTTGGAGTCTCAGGACATCGGCACATCGACTTGCCGCGGCTGTTTAACGCTTAATACTATGAAGGCGACGAGGCGAGCAGAATTTGAGGCTTACACACGGATCACCCTACCGCCTTCGGCTTGACGCGTGGTCGGAATTCCGGCAAATTGGTCGTCCAACCACCTGAGCCCAGACCAAGTCGATCATATGCCGGCTGTACCTACCTATCGGTAGATATCCTGCGGAGATCGCCTCCGGTGGGATGGTGTGGGCTCACACATCACCAAGCTGAGACACGTTATGCCTCGCCGACTCAGACAACCTTACGGAAGATTCCGTTCAGACTCGATTCTTCGTTGTCGTTTTCGCAGGCCGGTAGCGAAGCTGCTCGCTCTCATCACCGTCATCCCCTGGCTCACAATACCTGACAACTTGGCTTGGAACATCAGTATATTCACCACGGGATGGACCAGCTAACCCGGCAAAAGATGGCAGTAATATGCTTACGGTCTATTACCGTGGCCATTTGAGATGTCTTCCGACTCGAGAAGAGAAGACACATAACAGACAAATGACATTAACCCTCCCCCTACCCCCTTCCCCTTTTTCCGTCAACAGAAGTGACATTACCACAATGACTGAGGCAACCATCTTGAGACTGAAAGGCCAAGGGCACAACGAAGAAGCTTATAGCAGCTTGATGGTGCGAGATAACATTGGATATGCAGCGGAAACTTGCCTTTGAGCATGACTTTATATCGACATCACCAGTCTCCGTCATGGCTTTTCATGAATAAGATGAAGTGGACAACAGACTGCAGAGTAATCATGGAGGATATCAATGGAGCTTACGATGAGTTGTGCCAACACTGCAACAATGCCGGTTATATGCCATCGATGCATGGCTTTTTAGACTAGAATAACTGCTCTGTTACGTACCTCGTCGGGTCAATCTTTCGAGTTCTTCAACATTCTACACAGTAGGTAGTGAGGGGCCACAATCGTGCGAAGGGCTAGCTGGAGAGACTCTGCTCGCGCTAAGATTATGCTATTATTGCGTAGGCGAATTTCGTTTAGGGAAGGCGCTCCGAGTTAGCTTTGTCATCTTCCAGAGTTTCTTTAGACTGGAACCCAGTCCGACGCTCTCTTCAGGCTTTCCCACCCAAAAGCCCGTCTTTGCCTTACTCTTTAAAATGATAACTTCAGCCAACGAATGCTTGTTCGGCTCGGTTCGGCCCCGCCGTACTTCTCTTCATAGCTGCAAGTTCGGAGAAGGGCCGGGATATCCGCGTCTCGGAAAGTCCGCCTTAGACTATGGCGGGGAAGTGGGAACGCGGGGCAGGCAAATGAGAGAATCCACACTTCGATGCTACTCAAGTTCTTAAAACAGACCGGGATGTGATTGAAATGTTTGGTAAATAAAGCGGGAGACAGCTGCACGTTCGTAGAATCCTTAGCCATCAAAGTGACAAGAAGCTTTCTTCGGTCTTGAATATGCAGTTTCTGCGTTTCATATCCTTCGTTTCATGCCCTTTGGGTGTCCTGGGCTCTCTGGCAAATACATCTTACACCAATCCAATCATTCCAGGATGGCACTCGGATCCTAGTTGCACTTTTGTCCCTGAGTGGAATGAGACTATATTCTGCACGACGTCGTCTTTCATCGCCTTTCCGGGAAATCCTATCTATGCCAGCAAAGATCTTATCAGCTGGAGACTTGCAAGCAATGCAGTCAACCGGGTGTCCCAATTCCCTCTAATTCGCAACGGAAGTCAAGGCGAAGACCTTGGCATGTTTGCAAGCACTCTCCGCTACAATAATGGCACGTTCTACTTGATCTCAACTTGGGTCAGTGCCCAGCTCGGAGGACCAAAGTTTGTCATCTTCACCACAAAGGACCCATTTGACGACCTGTCGTGGTCCGACGCGATATGGCCAGAAACACCTGGCGACACAATTGATCCAGACATTTTCTTCGACGATGATGGCTCTGTTGTCGTTGCCTCTTCCGGAACACCCATCAAAGCAACTTACCTTGATCTCTCCACCGGCAATACCAGTGAGCCTTGGGACCTCTGGAATGGAACTGGAGGCGCAAACGCCGAAGGCCCCCATATCTACAAGAAGGATGGATACTACTACTTGTTGATTGCTGAAGGTGGCACTCAGCTAAATCATTCGGCAACTATCGCACGATCAAAAAGCATCAAAGGGCCTTGGGAAGCGGCACCTCAGAACCCCCTTATTTCCAACAGAGGCACCAATGAATACTTTCAAACTGTCGGGCATGCTGATCTCTTCCAAGACTCGATTGGAAACTGGTGGGGTGTTGCTTTGTCTACTCGCGGAGGACCGGATCTTTACAACAACCTCAACTATCCCATGGGCCGAGAGACCGTTCTATTCCCAGTCACTTGGCCAGTGGGAGGCTGGCCTATCGCAGATAAGGTTCGCGGAAACATGAGCGGGCCATTACCCGACAAGTCCCTTGTTCAAAGAGGAGTTGGCCCTTTCGTTGGCGAAGCAGATGTGGAAGATTTCAAGTCGGGGTCCGCCATTCCAGCGCATTGGGTCTATTGGAGAGCGCCTTTCAATGCCACACATTTCACTGTCTCTCCCCAGGGTCACGAAGATACTCTTCAAATGACTGCGTCTCGCGCCAATCTCACAAGAGATATCAACTTCAACGTCACGACTGAGGGCGTCACGTCTGTCTTTCGACGGCAGGAACACACCTTTTTCAACTTTTCCGTTGACATCGAGCTAGGCTTTGGAAATTCTGTCGGCGATGAAGTTGGAGTTTCGAATTATGTCAACCCTAATCAGCATGTCGATCTCGGTATCATTTACCAAGCCACTGGATCTGACAAGGGAGACAACCTCGAGCCTTACTTCCAACTCAGGGCCCGTTCAATAAACAACTCAACAGCTCCTGATCCAAGGATCGTACCAATTCCGCAAGAACTGTTGGGCCGAACTATTCGGATCAGGATATCTCCGAGGAACGAGACTCACAATGAGTTCTTTGGAAGCTCGGCAGATCATGGAGATTCTGAGCAGTCGCTCTGGGTCTTTAACAACGCGTTATTGGCCGGAGATGGAGCTACCACTGGTGGTTTGCTCGGTGTCTATGCTACCACTAATGGTGGGAATGGCTCCTTCAATGGGTACGTGGGAAGATGGAGATACGAGCCTATTGGCCAGAAAGTGGATTACAATATTACTATTCCAACATCAACTAAATAGCAGTAGACATGGCTGCCTTCAATATTTACATTTTAATACTGATACAACAATTTATCGCAATGTACCATAGTCTTTACATCGAGAAGAACTTGGTAAGGAAAAGATAGAAACCCACATAGACCTAAAGGATTACTTTACACAATGTGTAAGAGAAAGATTGGCATTAATTAAGACGTTAATACAATGGACCCTGCCGACAGAAGCTTCTTATCCAGTCATTTTTGTTGTTTACCGTCGTGAATACGTCAAACTCTTCAAGTACTTTGATTTGTTAAAGCTACCGTGTTTCCGAAAAAAGGCATTTCCTTGTACAGTGACAACTTGAGGTTGAGGCGCGGCCTTTCCCAGAGAGTGAAGTCTTTCTGACATGTGATCCAATTTTGGTTGTCGTGTTGCAGTTCGAAGTCCAAATTCTGAAGTACATGTACAAGAATCATGCGTATCTCTGCCCAAGCAAGAATGTATACCAACATTCGCACCTCGTGGCGGCGGGCCGCAGAAGGACTAATCAAGGCAATCGCTGATTATCGATTCGTTTTTCCATGCAAAGTTTCGGTGATTATATAGAATATCCATCCTAATAGTCAAGAAAGTCACTATATTGATTGTCCGTTGTGAATTTCGTCCCAATGCACTTCAGGGAAGTCTTCAGAAGGGCTGTCCAAAAGAGGCTGGTTAACATGACGCAAGATATCATCAAAGAAGGCCCGGATGAACGTCCTTGAGATTTTGACCATTCTCCTTCCATCAATCGGCCCTTGTGTCCGTGTCGTGCCGAAAATCTTCCAGAATCCCAGGTCGGACCAGTCAGGATGCAAGCTTCCATCCACCGAGAAGAGACGCCACCAGCCAGTCTGCCATGCTCGGTAGTTGTTCCAGGTGCGGTCGGAATTCGCGTTGTGGCCCTGGAAGCCGAGAATCATTGAAGGCTTTTTGAGGTCAGAGTCAGATGTGCTGTTCAGTCGGCCCCAATTGGCACCGTCGATGTTGATAGCAGCTGCTACTACATCGCTCTCGAGAGCTACGGTGAGAGCAGCAGAGCCCCCTAAAGATACACCGAATGTGCCGAAATCGTTGGTTTTAAAGGGAGCTTCAAGCTTTGACACGAGTGAGGGGAAGTAGTTGATGAAATGCAGCTGCTGGCTGACCCTGACGGCATGCAAGTCCTCTACCCAGTCAAGAGTGTAATTGCTAAAATTCGGCGGCAGTCCGTAGACACCCGTGCCGTTGGGGTACCGCACAAAAGGCTGCTCGTAAACGTGATCAAATGCAGCAACGGTGTATCCTTCATTTGATGCAAAGTCAGTCTAGAGTTTTGAGCAACGACAGGTTGAGGGGATAGCGAGTTTACCATGTGAGACCAGATCAGAGATGATGATGTAGTCACCATCGGTCGGTACACCCCAGCCGCCAGGTCCGAACAAAAGAGTTGGGCCGGTTTCTTCATCCAGATAAGTAGCATTCCACCGCAGAGTTGACGTCAAGTGAGAGCTGTTATAGTTCCACAGGTCGGTATACAATTTGGCAAGCTCGGGCTCGAGGTACGGCTTGGGACAAGGCGGCGCGTCGGTGGTAGGATAGTACAGTGTAACGAGATACTCAGTCGAAACACCATTCGGCCACACAACATCATTTGCTTCCAAGAAGGGGACGACGAAACGCTGGGCGCCGACGTTATGTCCGCCCGTGGGATCAGGGAGTGGTTCCCCAAGAACCGCACAGCCGAGCGACAAGTAGAACCAGACGGCTAGGGCTTTTGGGATTCGAACCTTCATGTTGGCGATCGAGGACGCCGTAAAGCCGTTCGAGACATTTAGCAATTTCAGTATCCCCCAACGTGATGTTGAAGGATTTAAGTAAGTCTCCTGGTATGGACCTTTTTCTTGGCATAGATATTTTGCCTCACGAACCCCTCTCGTTGCAGATGCAAGAACCTATTGACAGAAACAATGCAGCGGCGCAGTCAAATCAGCTTGAATTGAGGTCTCTACGAGAACTAGCCTTACCCAGATCAGGCAGCTGGGTGAACCCGTCATGCTGACAGGAGTCCAAATGTGCAACGTCGGGCAAATGGTTGTGGGCGTAGTGTGGGGGGGCCTCTTGCGAAGCGGCTTGGCATCTAGAGCGCCAGTAAGCTGACAGCAGAGTGGGTAATCTGAGGACTGATGATCGAGCTGCCTTCGCTTAGTGAGTTTAGATAAATAGCTGTCAGCCTCATTGTGGTGCCTTCCCGATGATTGGCGAGCCAATTCAGCGTCCGGCACTCAGCTCCATATGAGCTAGTCACGGTCCAAGGCTTGAAGTTGACGGTCTTAGTAACGTGAGAAGCGAGTAACCTCAGTTGCTACCGACTGCAATCAAGTGCGCTCTCAATTCTACTAGGCAGGACACATGAAAGATAGATCCAGTAAGCTAGCACGCTAGCTGCACGGGCATGAGAGGTAGGGGGTTCTCGATCAAGAGAAAAACAAGGATGGTATAGACGTAGTACTAATTGAAGGACATGACGTTACCCATAAGCCTATTTCCGATACCACATTCTCGTGATCTTCGTCCGTCTCTGCTTTGCCTGTAAGAGGAATACGCCATGTAGTAGGGCCTCTGCAGTGGGTGGGCATCCGGGCACGTAGATGTCAACGGGTATAATCCGATCGACTCCCCTCACGACCGAGTAGCTGTAGTGGTAGTAGCCACCTCCATTTGCACAGCTGCCCATGCTGATGACCCATTTCGGGTCGGGCATCTGGTCGTAGCATTGTCGAACAGCAGGTGCCATCTTGTTTGTGACCGTGCCAGCAACGATCATAACATCAGCTTGTCGAGGCGAAGCGCGGAAGATGATGCCGAGACGATCTTGGTCGTAGCGGGGCATGGACACATGCATCATCTCTATACCGCAGCAGGCTAGACCAAAGGTCAAGGGCCAGAAGGAACCCTGGCGGGCCCAGTTGACGATGCTATCCAAGGTAGTTCTGTTTTTTTTTTTTGCTGTTAGCCCGTGATGGCTAGTGATGGGAGTGTCGAGATATAATGCTCTGATGGACTTACAAGACATGTTCGACGGCGTTAGATGGAGGCTTGATAATTTGGCTGTCAAAGGGGAGAGTGTTCTGTGGCACGATGCTAGTCTTCGTAGACTGTGATCTTGTATGGCTCTGATGGCTCTGGTGTTGAGGTCTAGGCATATATAATGTAGATGAAAGAGGAAGGGCATAAACCTGTGCTCGAGTGACCAGTCTTGGCGGATGATACCGCAGAACAGCTAATGAGATGGTGAGCCATGATGTTTAGGCCATGCATGTGCTTGAGAGGGCCGTTGACGACTGAGGAACCCGAGGGCCCGAGGAACACTTGAAGATAGAACCGACTTACAAAGGCTGGACATCTTACACGACTCAATAGGATCGGTCAAACGCGAGCATCGAGCAGAGGAAAAGCTGAGCAAGGCAGAAGGGTATCAGGTCGGTCAACTCTATCGTTTGCAGGAAAGCGCGCAGTCCCGGACATTATAAGAGACCACCGGAGGCCGAGAGCAGTGCGTCAAACATCAAGCACATTGATCATTTTATACGGGATCCAAATAACGGAAGGCCCCCATTGATGCATTACGCTGCGGTGGCCGCAAAAGCGGCTGTAGGGTGTGGTATCTTGGACACATCCCTAGTGCAGAAAGTGCTATTGATGAAGTAAGTTTATTCACTAGATACATATGGTTATGACACTATGACTATAAGACGAAATGCATGTTCCGGGGGCTTCCGGGTTTTCGGGTGGTGCAGTTGGACGTTGATGTTGGTGAGAAGTTGAGGAAGGAAGAGGTCAAGATGCAGATTGAAGTCGGGGGAGTAGCCTCTTTCCCTTTATTTTGTGCCAAGACCAAGGGTACTGTGATTCGTCAAGAGACCCACCACGGCACCTAGTGGAGCCGCGAAAGCGAGAGTTCCGTCCCAATTGGGATAGTAAATCCACCTGACCTCAGGGCGGGGGCCACTGGGGCTCACCGAGACTCCGGGGGTGGGATTTCTCCGGTCACAGACTGTCCTCGAACCCCTTGTCGCGGATGTGTGGGTCCTTCGTCCTGCCATCCCGCGTCATTCCGAACGCGTCCATCGGCTTAAACCCACCATCTTCACATTCTCTGTCGTTCATCCAAGCCCACTGCCAACCAACGCGATTTGATTACTGAGAATCCTAAGCCCAATTCGAATAGCCCGCTATCTCTACTGGGATTCTTCAACTACGCCGCCGGTAGACAGCCGGACCCGCCATGGCCGCTCCTTCAACCGGAGGTCATACCTGTGCTATTTGTGGGAAGCAGTATCAAAGAAGTGCTCATCTACGCCGGCACGAGTCTACACGTGGGTAGTCTTCTTGTTTCCTCCCTTCGTTTCTTCTTCATCCTTTCCGTAGTTCTTCTTTTGTGTCAAAATTTGCCCCTTTGGTCCTACAGCCTTGTTTTATTTCGGGCGATCTTCGCCTACTTCCCGCCTGACAGTGATGATTCCCCGGATTTATCGGGTGTCATTATCAAAGTACTCTCAGTTCGTTCCAGCATTCACTGTGACAGGATTCACCTTGCCTCTTCTCAATCAACCTTTGCGTAGTATATCAATCAGCCCGAGCTAGAGTTTAGCGTTTGATTGACTGCTTCGGGATGTTTTTTGACCTCGGTACTCACAACCTCGCAGACGTAGAATCGGCTAGGTACAAGTGCCTGTACTGCGAAAAGGCGTTCGCCAGACGGTTCGTATCATCTTGCGCACATCCATGCCGAAAATTCCACTAAAGCCTGGTAGAGATGTGTGCCGTAAGCACACAATCCATTGCCCCAAGAAACAAGACCAGGAAACCGTTCCAAATCTCAAGCGCGGTCAGAAACCCCGCGCATGCGACGCCTGCTTTCACAGCAAGCAGTCATGCGATACTTCTGATCCCTGCGTGCGGTGCGTCTCTCGCAAGCTCCCATGCACATATCACCGGTTGGAAGAGAGCACATCTGTCACCACAGATGCATCATCCTCCACACCATCCTCATCATTGGCCACCACCGCGGTAGGCACACCCGATAATGACAAGGACCGCACCAAAATCACAGTCGCTTTCCTTCTCGGTCTGACAAATCCCAACTCGGAAAACATACTCGAGTTCCTCGCCAGTGAAGCAGCTGCGAGAACCGAGGGCGATGGAATCGATCCAACAATGAAGGACATGCAAGTGCCCACGCAATACCCTCCAAACATGCTAATCGATGATGATTTCACGTTCCTCCCTTATGGCTTCGCATCAACTTTCGCCCCCGAGTTGATAGACTTCAACTCCTTGGATGTCTTATCAGAAAACATACTATCCAACACAAGGATGTCGTTTCTTGTGCCAGAAAGCCTGGAACCGCGGTCAGCCGAAATAATCTCGGGCTTACAAGAACTTCATCACAACCTAGTTGCCACGAATCAATGGTATGACGGCACCTTTGATCTTGACACGGCAAACTCGGTGTTCTCGGCAGGAAATCTGTGCCAATTTGCTGCGACCTATTTCCGAGTCAGCCATCTTGACTTCCCTATCGTTCATCGACCAGACTTTGGCAGTGACTACACCACCAAACAACTCCTTTTGGCCGTTGGACTCTCTGGGTCACTCAGATCACCCCCAAGCGACGATGCTCTCGCAGCCCGTGGATATCTCACCCTTGCGGAGGAATACATATTTCGTTGCCTAGAGCGTCTGATGCCCCCAGGCTCAGCGCCAGAGTTCACCCATGAGCTTGAAGAAACACTACAGGCAGCCCTCATGATTCACTCTGTTCAGTTCTTCCGAAACGACGTAGCATCACGGCGGAAGAATAGAACCCAGCGACTCCCGCAGCTTGTATCGGCCGTACGGGTTCTCGGTCTAGCACAGACCAAACATGCGCCCATATTCCAATACGAAGAATTTGTACGCAATGAGTCAAAAATCAGGTAAGCCCTCTGTACCCCTTTCAGTAGACACACCTTTACTCACAGACTTGTAGACTAGCAATTTGGACAGCGCTGGGAGACTGGCAGCAATGCGGCATGTTCAATACACCGCCATCGATGACGCCTGCAGAGTTGACTTGTGATCTGCCAAGCCCCTTGGAACTTTGGGATGCTAAAGACGCGGCGGAGTACTATGAAGCGGCCAACGCTCTCGGTGCCGATGGCTCCAGGAGGATTTGTTCCGTTAAACAGTGTACGGACGCGCTGATGGCTGAAAATTGGGTCGGTATGGGAAGTTTCCCGTTCCAGGATATCAGCGGATCCGACCTACAATTGTTGATTTTCGGTATGTTCAGCCCCTTTACTATTCAGTGTTGAAGCATACGCAAGGAGTAGACAAATCTAATGACAATAGCACTCAACGGCATGTTGGCATCGGCCAATCTCATGGGCGTCTTACCTGCGTGCGCGCCAGCCCTGCTACGTGCCGTTTCCAGGTGGGAAGTCATGTGGGACACGATCAGGGGTCGCATGGAGCCCGCCGCATTCGAAAAAGCAGGCATGATTCGGTACAATAGCGAGCTATGCTGGATAGCAAGAAAGCTTGTTCACGTCTCCATCTCAGGGGACAAGAGTTCTGCGTACATGCAGAAAGTTGGACACGATTCTCTTGTGCAACTGCATGAGTTCGTGCGCCAGTACCGCGATAGCTGAGTAATGTCCCCGATGGCTACCAGCGCGATTGAGCCGGATTCATTCAAGAGAAAGTACTTGCACGGGTACTGCTGTCTTTCACAACTCTCCTTCAACCATACTTATACTTCAAGATGATTCATGAGGAACCGGAACGTTGGAAGCGAAAAGTCAAATGTTTGTATCGTGTAGCCGTGTTAATAATTCAACGCTGATGGTGGGCCTTTCTAATGCTAGAAAACACGAATTCGATTTTGTTCGATCATCCAAACAGGACGGTGGCAGACAAGATTTGCACCATCCTCTGCCTCCTTTTTCTCCATCTTGCTAGTAAAGTACGTACAAATATTCTCGCCACAACACAACCTTCAGAAAGCAATGACCACCAATTCGGCATCCACGCTCAGAATCACTCTGTCGATATTCCTCACCGGCAAGAAGACACCCAGATCGCCGCGCATTTGGAGGCTCCAGTCTTCTCACCAAATTTACAAGTGACGCTTGCGCGCACAACCACCCTTGGAAGCAGCAGTCGTGGTGGTGGAAGCGGCAGCAGAAGTAGCAGAGGTAGCAGGAGGAACGCCAGAAGCAGCACCGCTCGGGGGAGCACCACTGGGACCGGCACCGCTGGGGAAGGTACCGCTAGGAGGGCCACCGGCGCCTCCGGGACCACCGCCGCCGTTTCCAGAAGAAGTATCGACACCACCGTCGGCATAGTAGTGAGCAGCGGCGCTAGCAGAGCTGGAGTAGTCGGCGGTGGTGTTGTAACCAACGGTGATCCAGGCCAAAACACCCTCGGAGATGTCGTCACCGAGCAGGACGTACTGGACAAAGGGGTCGTAGTCCGCGGTCGCTTCACCAAAGGCGATGCTGTCACCAGAGTTGAGAGTCAGTTCTTGGGTGTTGGTGTTGTAAGGCGCAACGGCCTCGACTTCCGAGATGAGAGTCTGGTCGAAGAATAGCTGACCGACGTGGTTCGTTACGCCGTCAACGTAGGTGTCGTTGTCTAGGACAGTGGCGCCCGTCGTCGTCTTGACGTGGATGTGGGTAGCACGGCCGGTGTAGTGGCCCGGGAACATGGTATCGAACTGAACAACTCCATCGTCATCGGTCTGCTGAACACCGCGGCCAAAGGTCGAGTTCAGACCGCCCTGGCCGGTGGCAGAAACACCAGAGTACACGCCGGTAGCATTGCAGTGCCAAGCGTCGATCAGGATCTCGGGCACACCCGCGCAGGTGGAGACGTCGACAAATTGGACGTCGAGGTGCAGAGGCACGCCGGACTGCCCGTCGGTCATCTCGCTGCGGATCAGCTCGCCGGCAACCCAGTAGGGCCCAATAGTGGTCTCGGGAACGACGACGCAGGTGGTGTTCTGGGCGAAGAGGGTAGCAGGATCGGTCTCAAGAGTGTATCCTGCGGAAGACTCGTGGTCGATAGCTGCCCAGGTGGTCAAGTCACTCTCAGCACGGCGGCGGATCGGAGCTAAACAAAAAAAAGTCAAATGTTAGCCAGGAAGAACGAAAGGGTTACCGTGGAAAACTTACCAGTCGCAGAGATGGCTCTCTTGGCGCGGAGCTCCTTGAGCTTGGCCTCACGACGTTGGATTGCGCGCTGCTTGAGGGCGACGTCGGCAGCCGAGCCGGCACAGGCGTCGAGAGCCCGGCGGGTGCTGGCGGCAACAGATCGGCGCAGGGCCATCTCGCGCTTGTGAACGTGAGGATCATGCTTCTCTCCCGGGTGCGCAGTAACACCTGTGAGTGCGATAGCCGCCAGAGCGAGGCGGGAAACGGTAACCATTTTGTTGGATCGAGATGTCAAAGTTGAAGATAGCGAAAGTAAAGTGAAAAAAGAATGTGATTTCTCAAGATCTTGCTCAAGTGAAGAAGTGAAAGAGAAGAGCTTAGAAGGACTGATGGCGGTGAGGAAAGAAACAAGAACTGCTGAACTTCGCCATGGCTCGTCGTCTTTATGTATGCCATCTTGCGGAGGGAACAAGATGTCGTCACGCTTGACCATTTACGCCTCCGAATCACACAGCAAGGGCAAACAACAACATCGCAATCTTTTGCAAACTGCGTACGTATGAGTGACTCGTCATCAGTCCTCGGTCCAACGCATGGGTTTTCACATCGACTTGCAGTCACGCACCGTCTACCGGAGGGATTGAGGCTGTAGTCGGATGCCAAGCCCCGGTATGTGGGAGCTTGGGCGGCGGAGGGCAGATCTTAGTGCGACGCTGCTATTTTGCGGGGAAACGGCCGGCGAATCACAGAGACCTCAATCAAATCACCCTCTCCTTTCCGAATGGTTCGGACCTTTTAAGGGGTAATTAAGCCAAGGGTTAAAGATAAAATCAAGCGTAATGCCATGTGGGGGGGTCTATGTGGATTAATGGATTATGGATTAGCAACCCGTCGGCGGTTCCCTTTGTGGCGTTGCTAGTCTCTACCGACTCAATTTGTCTCGGGTGAGTAGCCAGAAATATTCAACGTGGACGTTTGCATTGCGGACGTTATCGCGCCCTCGGCGGTCCAGCCGTGTCTCGCGTCATAGCCACCGACATGCCAGGAGCACCTAACCAACCTCGATCTCAGGAGCTAGGGGTACACGGAGATTCCACCAGGCCTAGTTTCTGTCTTGTACGCGTATGCCTACTTTACAGGCCCGGCAAGTGATGGTGAAGGTAAAGAGTCTATCGGTTCCTCAAGCGGAAGCTATTTTTTCGCCGTGAATTTCTCTAATAACTGGAGCCTCTGTGTACTCACGGAAAGACACTCTGCAACCAGAAGCAATACACCTTTGCGACTTCAGTGTATTTGGCGTCATCCCTCGCGACATCATAGACGCGCAATAAACGTTCATCGAGGAGCGAAAGACGACGACAGGTGCAAGTCACAGTTCAGCATAGTTTGTAGGCGCTGTAATTCTTGTCGTTGGAACTAATGCAGATATCCAACAACACATTTACCTAGGTAGTTATCGTACTAATAAAATTTTCACCCTCTAAAACCGCCTTAATGGCAATCATCGAAGAACGGGGTCAAGTTATCTTACGGTCGAATCATGTCTATTTCATGGTGTTCAATAATGGCGAACTTTATGGCACTGTCTGCTGGGCCGCTGTGGCTCATGTTTTGTGGAAGCTGTTCACATTGTGAAAGGGATAATGAATACTGTAGATGCCCCTAATGACTGCCTTTCCGAGGAGGCTGCTTTCAGAAAGCTTACGTGCTATAGAGCGGGTATAAAAAGCCCTTACGCAACCAGCTGGAAGAAAACCCCTGTATTATTTCTTTCAATTATGTTGTCCTAGTTTGCTTATCTCAACTCACAACTCATTCCATTTGGAAGCCACCCGCCATTCAGTTACAATGCCATGGAGTCAAGTAGTAGAAAGCTCGCAGGTCTTCCGGGAGACCCAGATTTGCTCGTAATATAAGACGTTCTCTTATGGAACGGAAAATGGATACAAGAGACGCAAGGAGGTCATGAATGTTCAAGGTATCGATGTTGACTCGTCACTCTGGTCACTCACTGGGCACGGGAGGTAACAGCAGTTGCCCAAGTTCATCAATCACCAGGTACACGAATCCATAAAATCTGTTGGACTCACATCGTAGTGAAGCCTGGGGATATGATCAAGAGTCTGGGTTTGTGTTCGAGGATTATCTTGCGGACAAACACTGACGACACTGCGGCAGCCAATCTCTCAAGTGTTTGTGGGCTTCGCTTTAGTCTATACTGAAAATGGTTCTTTCACTGCTCTTGAGGTCGGCTTTTCCATGATATTTGTTCATTCGTACCTTTAGTCTCGTTGTGAAAGTTTATATGTCTACTTCTCGATACTTCTGAGTCAAGCATTGGTCGTTGAGTGGATGGTCACTGAGTAAGGTGAAGAGGGCAGCTCGATGCCAAAGCTTCAAAGTGAAGTGATGGAAAACGGCTATCTATAGAATTCAATGCCCAATATACGCTGAAGCTGCTATCTCTCGCCGGAAGCTCTGCTGCTCAACTTCCTTCGAGGACGGTGTGAAGTCTTGAATTCGCGCAAGTGACGCACACTGCCTAAGGCAGGTTTATTGGAATTCATAAACTTTGGTATATATCCATTTTAGATCAGAGGAACACGAAGGAGAATTACTTAGAAACCCAACGGGAGTAACTTGCACTGAACATAAACACTGAAACAGAACGTATTTGCAGTGAATTATATCTCCCGTCGGGTGTCCTTTATTCATAAGTTGGATGCCAAAGATGAGTTTTATGGATACCTTACTCGCTAACAATAGACGTTCCAGGGGGCGGTCCGCGGGAAGTCCCTGTAATAACTTGGCTTGTCGCATAAGCCCACCAACGAGTCGCCTCTATCACTCCATCATTACGTTCAGGCCGCTTGCTGTTAAGGTTCTACATCGTCGCCCTGATGCAAAATGGCGGGCCCCGTCACCGTGCCTCTGCATCTTCTGTCCCTTTTGACGACACAAACGGCTGTTTGGCCCAGAGTCCATCGCAGGACGCGCATGCTTTTGCCAAGAAATTCGGAAGACTTCTCTTGGAAAGGCCTGGAACCTGTGTCGACCCTGAAATCTGCTCAGAGCAGTTCGGCTTCCGTTTGTGTCTTCGGAACCATTGATGGGAAGGCGTGGCTTCTGGAAATATCCACCGTTCTTAGTGCCAAGTTCCTTCGTGAACCCTCCGCGTGACAACGCGTGAGCCCGTTGCTCCAGCCCGGAATACGACATCGACTCACGGATGGCTAGACGCTACCTTCTCTCGAAACAATGGAGGGTAAGCAAGCACATCTTTCAAATCCATCTCACGTGGCATCGAGCTAATTACGTGCCTTCATTGATGCTCAGGCCTACCAGGCAACTAGTAGAGTCCATACCCGGACCCGCTTCATCGTCGTGGAGCAACAAGGCCCAACTCAGGGCTCCTCTCACAACCAGCAACGGCACGAAAAGGATGAACCTGAAGACTCACCTCATGGCTGGAGACCGACCTTCTGGAGAGTCGTCGAGGGCAGCGCGACGGCTTTTGGCTCCATCGCGGTCCTCGGTCTGGCGGGCTACTCCTATCACGCCTACTACAAGGACCTTGTCCTGCGAAAGATGGACAATGCCTTTGGCGTTGGCTTCTCGACACCGGAGCTGACGGCTCTAGGACGCCACGTGGCTCCTCATAAGCTCCATACCATTGATGACTTCACGGGCTTGGAGGGTGAGAATGAGTGGATCCCTCGGGCTGAGCAGGAGCACATTGACGGCATCATTGACGGGACGATCCGAGGCCAGTACCATTTGATCACGGGAGAGAAGGGTACGGGAAAGAGCTCCATGATCCTCAAGGCGATGCGGAGGGTCAACGGCTCGGGAATTGCTATGCTCGAAGCCCACAGCGACCTCGAGGTCTTCCGTCTCCGCCTGGGCAAAGCCCTCGACTTTGAGTTCCACGAGGACTACATCGGAAGCCTGTTCAGCTTCAAGGGCCCTCGCGATTCGACCGCCATCTTAGACATTGAAAGAGCCTTCAACAAGATGGAAAAGGTGGCCCTCATGCGGCAGAGACACATCCGGAAACCGCTAGTCTTGATCATCAACCGCGTTCACGTCCTCCGAGATGACGATGACGGACGCGAGCTGCTGGAGTTGATTCAACAGCGGGCCGAGATGTGGGCGGCAAGTCGCCTTGTCACGGTGGTATTCACCAGTGACGACCACAGTACCACTGAGCACCTCAAGTGGCAAGCCACGCGGATATCCGTGACCGACGTCCGCGATGTGCCCCGCGATCCTGCCGTCGAAGCGCTCCACGAATTCCGGCAAAAGGTCTTCAAAGAGGATGTGTCCAGCGACATCCTGAACCAAGTCTACAAATTGGTCGGCGGGCGCGTCAGGTTCCTCGACCACGTCGCGAGATCAAAAGATATGCTCGCGGCCTGCAAATTCATCTGCGACAGGGAGAAACGCTGGCTCTTGGGCCAGTGCTGGATGTTGGGCGCCGACATGGATCCCGATGCCGAGGATCAACAAGACCACGCCACTACGGCTTTCTTGCTGGCCAAGGCGTTGATCGAGAAGGAGAAGGATATGAAGCCAGAAGAGCTTCTGGCCGGAAAGCTCCCAGAGATGCCTCTTCACGAGGCGAGACATCTCATGACGAGATTCGACTTCATCCAGAAGCATGACCACTTCAACATCTTCTCCATCGATTCCAATTCCATGGTTCGGGCGGACTCTGTGCCGATGCATAACGCCTTCAAGGAGATCTGCGCGCAAGAAGGGTTCGATGAGCTTCTTGAAGCCAGCTTGGAGAGACTTGATGAGCTGGAGGGTCTTCAGAGGACGAGAGAGATTGTGATGAAGGATTTGGCGAATGAGGGCCAGTTCCAAGCAATGGTTCGCCAGGCCAAGGCGGGAGGAGATGGCTTGACGGTTACTGTCAAGGCCGCATCACTCAAGGAGTAGATTTAGTGATGGACGTTGAGATGTTGGAGACGAGAGTCGAAGAACTTGATACCGGAAGCCAAAGTGCATGGACTAGCATAGCCATTTGCCTTACTGAGTCGCCGGAAGTAGCCTGTCCGGCCCGTCTCACGAGATATCCATAGGGCTATGTGCTTGAAATGAATAACTGCGCTGTGTGCGTTGAAACCCATTGAGAATTGCCTAATAGCCGAGTGTTACTCATACGGGGTGGTGATTCCTCATCATCATTTTGTGTAGCCTCATTCCTGATGAGGTTGAACCTGTGAAGCACACGATGCCTGTATTTTCTCCTTCTCAATATCCCGAAACGTCATTGTGAGAACCGAAACAAGCCGCTCATTGAAACAAAAGTGTTTGTTTGTTTGTTTGTTCATCTAATGTTTGGTAGCCTTGTATCATTCCAGAGCAGGATCCTCATAACTAATATGGCAGGCACGACAGGAATTTAACCGGACAAACCACACGGGGGATGAAGGCCGGAAAGCGGGAAACCTAGTCAACGGCGGCCGAGACCGGGCCGTGGAAGTGGATCACTTAGAGTTTCTGTTCATCGGAGGTCAAAGCAAACATGTGTTGAGAGGGGCCCGGCGTTTCGGAGAGATGAGGTGCAACGTCGTTGACGAAAAGGAATGTAAACTAGACGTTTGGATGCCGGAAGGGGAGGCCAGAAGAGGAGAGCAGTGGAACTTTACTACCTGGTTCGGATATGGGAATCGGCAATTGGGAGATGGTCTCGCTCAACGGTGAAGAATATGAATAACGGCCAGCGTTGAGAGCGATTGCTGACTTTGAACAAAGTTGAACAATGAGAAGTTGCGGGTGCACACGAAGAAGTGCTGTGGATGAGCACTGGGACCAATGCACCCCGGATTCTGGAATGACGCTGCCATGCGATGGGAGTTTAGTGGGCCACACCAGGGCGCTTGATGATGCGGGGATGGAGCGATGGGCTTCAGTCCAAATAGTCCATCGAGGAGCGAGGCCGAGGATAGACACTCCTTTGCGCTACCTTGGTCTGACCTGGAGTGCATGAACTCTGGGGATCTTACTGTCGAGGTGGGGGCGATTGAATTGGTTGATGTCCTGTTTGCGAGATGCGGCATGAGGTCACTTTATGGGATGACAGCCGCGGTTTGCTCTAAGGAATAAGCAGTGTGAGGGGAAAGCGCAATGAACGAGGGAAGAGAAAGCGAGCCATCGCGGTGAAGTGGTAAGGTTAGTGGATGGTACTGGATGTCGACGAGGGGTGATGCATGTCGGATGACGTCGTCACGATGGTGGGGAGCCTCTAGAGTCATGGGAAGTAGGGGGCAAGTCAGAAAAGAGAGTGTTCTCATTATCCGAGTGAGTTTGGAGGTTAGGAGATGAGGAGAAATGTCGCGATTTGACTTGAATTTCATTGACATGAGTCGCAGAAGAAACGATGATTGAATCATTCTTACTCAATTTGGATGAGCATTGGTATACTCCGTACAGCTGGAGAGAATAACATGGCTCGGTCCAGGGTCCCGGAGTGAGAAGCTGAAGTGAATTACACGACATGTGTAAGTGAGAGTGAGCATGAGACGTGGATGAGATCTGGAAATAGGAACACTTTTGGGCGGTGCAAGACACAGCACGAGGCAGCAGCAACGGGAAGCCACTCATCGCCTCTTCCTTCCGTGTCTTTGACACGCCGCTGCTTGCAAGTTCCATTGCATCTGCCTGTGGCCGATCGCGATTGCGTGCACAGACCACATGCACGTCGAGTACTGCGGTATGTACTCCGTACCAACCAACGGCGGAGCAGCAACCCAGGAGTTGGGGTCCACACCTGCCACTTGCATATGGAGACGATGGAGAACCTGGAAGGAATCGAACCTCAGGAATCAAGGCACAAGGCACAACAAGACCCCCATGGATACCTTGCCTGAAGTACCTGAAGTAATGGCGAAGGTGGATGGATGCCTTATCAATTCGAGGGTACTCGGTACCTTGAGTGGCCAAAGCTCCGGCATTTCCACCACTCACCTTTTCCTGACGCATGGCGGCCTTTTCCTCACTGCGGCTCCCAGCCCAAACACGCCCAAGCAAGCCCAACCTCGCAACAGGCTAATGTAGTCGAAACAAGCATGAGGATACAAGTCAGTACCATGGCAAATACCTAAGATTCCCTACCTTACTTCGTGAGAAGCGCATTCGCAGTACCTAGAGGTCTGATGTGTCTTACATGCCTTGCCTTACCTGGCTGTGCCTTGCCTTGGTCGCTTAGGCGTAGAAGACACTCGAAGCGAGCTACGGCTGCAGTGACACCCGACGTCAATGATCCATCATCACCTTAGGTTGTCGGAAGCGACAGACGCGGAAGACGCGGCGCTTTGGTAGTGTACTGCACACTATGTACGTGAGCCGGTGAGAGGCCCCCAAAAGCGACCCAAGTGAATCGTTAGTGAGTGGAACAAGGGGATAGCGACCCCGAAAAAGGCGACTGAGACCCATACTGCGTAAACAGTAGAGTTCTTTTCCAAGGCCACCCCAGCCTCCCTCTCTCATCCCCGCATGCCGCAGCTGCGCAGATACTTACTCCGTACCTCAGGAAGTATCGGAAGTACGGAGTACGCGCCACCTCACTCACACGACTATTTCCAGCTGCCAGGCATCTATATTCCAAGTACCGGTACGATTCTAATGCTATCTCTCATCACCCTATCTACCAAGTATCTACACTATCTGTGTCTGCACGCAAAGCAAAGAAAAGGTCTGAAGATGTAACCTCAGCTGGGAAGATGGAGGTAATGTTGCCGTATACGGAGTAGGTAGTCGAGAATAAAGCCCGAGGTGACAGAGTGAACCCACGCAACCCTGCTCATGAGCTACCTTACCTACCTACCTGATGCTGCATCTGCCACTTGAGGGGCTTCCCAGTCCAGACTTCTCTTCCATGTGCCAAAGGGGGGTGAGAGAGAACCTGCATTTGCCATTGCCTGTGGCCCGGTGGTATAAGACAAGATGGCAACCTTCAAAAGGCAGCACCTCTGCTGCATCTGCTCACCTGCCCCCCTCACCGCCGTCATTTGCCTGACATTCCACTCCTGACGGCAACAAAGTCCCTCAACACTAACCTTACACCTCTACCGGTATCTCTTGATCACCCTGTATTCCTCCGTCTCACCACTCTTGCTTGTCCTGGGTTCCTTTTCTTTCCGAACCCTCTTCAACCCTGATCGTCCCGACAACCTCTACACATTCTTCGACACATCCCGACAATCTTCGTCCTAATCCAACAATCTCCCTGTTTCACAGACATCACGAGCCCCCTCTATAGGTCGTTCAAACCCCCCCCCAAAAAAAGAAAAATAAGAGGGACGTTCCAGGTTCCCAAGCACAGCTCAGCCCACCCCTGGTCGGCGCACCCGCACAAGCACCCGCACCCTGCAGGTCACGAACCACCACCCCTCGTCATCCTCAGGACCCAGCTGCAGGACTGAACAAAACCACCGCCTTTCGTCACCAGATTTCCCAAACCCCGCTATTTTACCCTCTACCCACCTCACCTAATACCATCCGAGCCAAACTGATCCAAACTCCGACTAAAACCCAACGACCTGACCGACACATCTCACGAGACTGGGTATCACGACTATTTACCTTTGCTTCACCAAAAAATACCAGCTCCTCGCACGCACTACCTTAGCTTAGCCCGTCGTTGCAGAAACCTTCAAAATGGCCGCCATCGTCGAACGCAGCCCCCCTACGCATTCCCCTCCTGGTCCCCATCCCAAGAGACCCAGAGGTGAGTAATCCTTCTGCAAGGCGACCGTCGTCCCAGACCTCAACGCCAGCAAGTCTTGACCGGTAAGCTTGCAATTACTTACCACCACCCATGGCAGGTATTCTCAAGAACTCGTACCAAAAGTCGCCCCCAACCTCACCCGGTGAAGCCGACCTCACCGAAAAGGAACTCACCCTCGTCAACACCCAATACAACGCTGGCCACCGCCGCTCATCTTCCGCAGCCCGCCCTTCAGGTTCCCGCCGCCAATCCAGCCGAACACCCTCTCAGCAGGGCGACGACGAGCAAGACCTCGAATCGTCCCAGCGCCTCAAGTGGGACGAGGCCAACCTTTACCTTACCGAGCAGGAGCGCTCGTCAACTATGAAGATTGACGAGCCCAAGACTCCCTATGCGAAGCACTACGACCCCACCGAAGACCCCTCGGACGACGAGGAAATGTCGGAAGACCCCAACGTTGAGAGGAAGCCTCGCACGGCTCGTGCTGGTCCTGGCGTGGAAGATGATATCCCTATCATGTCGCTTGGCGAGCCGGAAGAGGCGGTCCCGGAAAGCGAGTCGTCCAAGGAAAAAGCCCTCAAGGCCGTCCACGTCGACGACAGTGCCAGCGCTCACGGCGACGACGATGAGCTGGCCGGCCTTTCGCCCGAGGAGCGGGAGAAGCACCGTCGTTTCGAGGAGTTGCGCAAGAAGCACTACGAAATGAAGGATGTGGCCCACTTGTTGGGCCACCCCGAAGAACTGGAGGAGGAAGACGACGAGGAGCGTTCCGCCCGCGGGCCGCCTCCCGTCCCTGCTCTTCCCCGGCCTAGCGAGGCTACCAACGGCCAGGCCTGAGCCTCAGCCTGAGCTTGGGTGGCGGCGGATATCACTGGCCGAGTTCACGCTCAGCCGGCACGCCGTACCGAGGAGGACGATACGGGAGACGCATTACGAGCATTTTCACGCACTGTTGACGCTTTTTGGAGTCGAGATGGAGATTAGCATCCGGCAACGGCGTGGCACACGAAGGAGTTCTGGGTGGATATCACGGATGGGGATTTTAGCGGCGTTCCGGGGCCTTCGTGTCTGTAATCGTCGCGTTTCGCAGTCACTGCAGCAGCCTTCTTCCTCTCTGCCGTCGGCACCTTCTTTGCCGTCGTCGTCGTCGGAGGGGAGGGGTATTTCAGCACGACTCAGTAGGCTTTTTGCTTCGGCCAGAACCTGGCACTTTCAATAGAGTCTGAATTGTCCTATCAACTCTGTTTATCTCGTAGTATCCATCAATCTTGTGGCTCATGTGAGAAGAAGTCCAAAGCCCCAAAAAGGAAAACAACTTTGGTGTCTATTTGCGCCTTGCAATGCCTGTCCGTTCTGCTGCTGCTGCTGCCCCTCCAGCTCATTCCTCACAAAAGACCCTTGCGCGCCAACTCAATCTTCCTCGCCGCCTCGCCTGCAGCAAAGCCACCTCTCGAGACGCAGATCCGGTTACCATCTGTGAGCTCGAACTTGTCCTGGTTTCCGGGCCAGGGGCAAGGGCAGTGGTGGGGAAAGTGGACGCAGGCGAGGGTGTCGGGGCAGAGGTAGTGTTCGCAGTAGGCTATGAAAGTTAGCGATTCCGTGCTTTCAAAAGCTTTGCAGGTGTAAAGAAAGTTTCTTACAGCCATCATATCGTTGCTGGTATTGTGACGGGTCGCTCGGAACGTTTTGGGGCTGCTGTTGCTGTTGCTGGCCGCCGAACATCTGGTCGAAGAAGCCAAACTGGGCCTGGGCCGAGCTGATCAAGGTCAGGAGGACCAGCGGGAGGGAGGCGAAGAAGCGCATGTCGTCGGTTTTTGGGCACCGGGCGAAATGACAAAAGGACGAGAAGATTTCCCTTGATCTACTTTTGTTGCTTCCGTTGTGTAATTCGCTCGAGGTGTTCGTCGTCTTGCTCAATGTTGCTGTAACCTCCACTACCTGCGCCAATGCGCCTACGGATAGCTGTCCAAAAGACCACCTGAGGTGGGACCCGCCCCAGATTCCTTATCGCTATCGCGGCCCGCTGACTCAGCCGGAAAAATACTCTCAGCCCATCTCCCGTCCCTTGATGCACGCAAAGCTTCAATTGGAGAGAGAACGCAATACCCAGTTGAGTTGCCATTGACGACGTATGGGCAGCTCGTCCACGAAGCACACCTGATGCGTCTATTCCAATTGCAGCGGCCCTTGATGGCCGCTGCCGCCGGTCTCCTGCGGACGACCGCACCGATCCAGTCCACGACCTCGACCGCTGCTCAGCTGCTCCGCGCCGATGCCGCCAACGCCCTCGTGGCCGGACGAAGATACGCCTCCGTCAAGTCGCAGGGTGCCTACAAGCTTGCACCCAAGAGAACGATACCGAAGAAGCTGGGAGCGAAGCGCACCGGTGGTACGTTTGTTCCATCTCCCTTATGTGTCTCGAACTGGATTCAGTGGAGAACTCCATAATCATCACTACAGACGGTCAAGAGCTCGATACTAACAGCTTGCTCCAGACCAGTATGTCATCCCCGGCAATATCATCTACAAGCAGCGCGGCTCCCTCTGGTGGCCCGGCGAAAACTGCATCATGGGCCGCGACCACACGATCCACGCCATGGCCACGGGCTACGTCAAATACTACCGCGATCCCGCGCGCCACCCGGACCGGAAATACATTGGCGTCGTCTTCAACAAGGACGACGTCCTCCCCTACCCGACGCACGCCGAACGCAAGCGCAAGCTCAACATGTCTGCGCACACCATCGCCAAGCCCGTCGAGACGCCCGCCATCTCGGCCTCTGGCATCCCCACGCAGGTTGTGCGGCCCGCGCCCCGGACGGCCAAGGGCGCGCCCACGCAGCCAGCCCGCATCCTGAAGCTGAGAGACGACTACTCGTACCGTGAGGACAACTGGCGCATCGGACGGCTGGTCAAGATGAACATTGGCGGCATGAGCCGCAAGGCCAAGCTGAGGCAGAAGAGATACGCCAAGGAGCGTAACCTGTCGGGACAGAGGGCGGCGCAGGCTAGGTTTGCCGAGATGGAGGTGGACGAGTGGACGATTGCGGCGTCCAAGAGACTGTCGGATCAGAAGAACGCCGCCGTCTTGGCCAAGCAGAAGAAGCAGAAGCAGAAGGCGCAGAAGGTGGCGGCCAAGGCTGCCAAGTCGCAGAAGAAGCGGTAGTCGATCAACTGTGTCTTTTGCTTGGGGAATTGCTTGGGGCATGGGTGGGATATACGTGTGAGAGTAGGCGAATTGGGATGATGTGTATCATGGCTACCGAGGCGTAAATGTCATGTGGGTCATCTCGAGTGTAGAATATCTTGTACAAATCCATACTAGCATCCACGATTTGGTGTCACATTCTCTGACCTTGCCTGCTACCACAGTGCTTCCAGGATTCCCGGCTTTCCAATCAACCTTGGCCAAGGTCTTCGATATGGAGAGATTAGATGTGTTCGAGAATTTGATATCTTGTACTTTGTTGCAAAAGGGGCTCTTCGGGACAGCCGTTGGCACTGGCTTTTTTTAATGACTTCCCGTCGAGGTCGCGTGTGGGGGAGGCACTTGCCGAATTGCAATGTACCTGACCACCAACCTTAGAGGAAAGAGTACCTGAACATGGCGCCTACGCCCCCAGCAGTCGCGTGTCCCGTCGCGTCTCTTTCAACGTCCATCTTCAACCTTCAACCTTCTCTTCACTCTCTCATTGCTCTTCACAATCGGACGCACAGACGCCAGGCGGAATCTAAATCTCATCTGCCATAATAACTGATTTCAATACTTATCTTACAAGAAAAACTATTTGACTCCCTTAATTCGATGCGAAGCAGTGGAAAGTGACGAGACTTGGACTCGACCCCCGCAGCAGCATCTCCAATCTGGAAGTGCGCGTGCAGCTGCATGAGGTGGGCAGCAACCTCATCTCTCAAGTCAAAGGAATAGAACAATGGCATCCAACGCTCAGGCCGCACAACCATCTGGGCTCTCACATTCATTTAAGCACGCCTTATCACCGGCCAATACGACCTCGACTACCCAGGCAAACAATGCCACCCGCACAGTGTCGCCTTCTTCAGCCTCCGGCAGCGGGGACACTTCAGGCAGGAAGATGAAGAGGACCGGGGCAGCGAAACCGCTCATGAGACCGAGTCTTTACGGAGGACAGGCACCACCTTGGGCGACTTCCTTACTGGGCGGAAAGTCATTTACGGCGCCTGCTCCATCACCTCCCACCCCTGCTCAAGCTTCTGCGCCTCCTCAAGCTCAAGCTCAAGCTCAAGCTGAATCCGAAAACAAAATCAACATACCAGAGCTGGAATCCACTCAACCAAGTTCAGGTACTGAAGATTCCGACGACAGCGGCAGCACAAGGGCAGGCAGCCCGGAACCAGCTCGCATTGTTAGCGACATTGCTCAGCCCGACCCTGAAGATCCATTAGCAGTCAAGCTTGAAGCGGTACTTTCGGAAGGTGGTTCAGATTCAGACATGGCGCGCGAGAAGAAGAGTCTTGCGCAGCATGCCAAGATCCAGGCTCTGCAAGATTCATGGGCCTCTAGCAACGCATCTGGAGGTCAATCGGGTTCTGCTGGACAGTCGGCGAATGCAAAGGACTGGCTGGGTGGTGAGTTGACCTAATCCCTCAGCTCTTGCCAGATTGGGTCTCACAAGCATACTCTGTTTGAAGGTTGTTCTTGACGGCGCTTCATGGAGGTCCTCATTCAAGATTGCAACTTACTGATACACCTACAGGGTCTGCATCCGAAGCATCGTCCAAGAGAAAGCATTCTCTGACTGAGAATCTGGCTGGGGTTGATGCTAAGCGGCAGGCAACGGATACCGGCATTCACGGTGTATCGACTAGTAAATCGCCCGAAGAAGGAACAAATCCAACTCCGACGGAGCAAGACTTACTGAACGTCCTTGGGCTCGGACGGCCCGGCTCCAGGCCCGACATCCTGAAAAGCACCGAAGACGTCTCATCACCGGCAGGAGCAGCGCATCAAGTCCAAGTGATTGAATCTTCGGACGAGGATATGGACTACGAGGATCAAGCAGGTGCTGATGATATGACGGACGAAGACGAAGACGAAGACGGAGAGACTGAAGGAGACCTGGAGATCAACACTACAGGCACGCCATCTGCAAAAGCCGCCCTCGTAAGAGAAGTGCCTTCTGACCCAAAAGACTGTAACTGACAGGGACACAGCCGCCATCTCAAGGCACTGATCAAGAGTTCACATCCACGAAAAGCCCGCATCCTCGCGGCTATCTGCAATGGAGAACGCCCCAGGGTATAGAATCCACCTGCGGCGCCATCATACCTACGAATTACAAATTTCACTCTGACCCAAAAAACCCATACATCTGTCCGGTGCGCAACTGTCGCGTCATTTTTCCAAAGTGGAACGGGCTTGGAGCGCACTTCTGCGTAAGTCTTCTTTTCAGCTGATCCCAGAGTCTCGTGACATTGACAGAAAACAGGCAAAGCATCGTAGCTCCAAGTTCAACGACAACCTCGACGGGACCCTGTCATTCGTGGACTACTATAAGAGGGTAGGCACCAAGTACGCGGCCCCCATCGTGGTCTCGCAGAATCCCCTCCGGGGCGACGAGCCTCCCTTGGCGGAGCCAGTGACTGCAGGCTATAAGCCTGTGTCGGCCCCGGCCACGGCTCCGAGCCCAGTTCCGTGGGGCCCGACTCCGAAGCCTGTGAATTCAACCCCGTCCCGGGCCGTCCCCAAGTCATTTTTGAAGAATGATATGACAGTTATCAAGCCACCTTTAGTGGCCCCGCCTCCGAGCCAAAGCGTTTCTGCCTCAGATGGCTCGCTGCTCACGTACTTATCCGGCCACTTTTCTCCCGCCTACAAGGTACCGGTTGAAAGGCCGGATGTGAAGGCGCTGCTGAAACTCCCTCGACGGCGCCCATTGCCTCAGACGTGGAAGTTGAAGTACACTGGAATCGGACACCTGGCACCCCTCGCAACAGTTGCGCTTCTAATATTTCTCACCGGCGATCTTGCCACACCATGTTGCCACGTGTGCTACAAGCACAATGATCCCTTTGAGAATTTCCTACAGCCATGCGTCGTCATGTCTGCTGCAGCTCCTGGTTTCCTAAAGGAGATTGGAAACAAGGCCTGCTCGGGATGTCAGTGGCGGTCTAACTTCCGCAGAGAAAGGAACAATTGCTCCTTCTTGTCCTCGGGCCAAGGAGCGTCAAGCCCACAAGTCACCTCAATAGCACCCCCTATACGATCTACGGTTGCAACTCGCTCCGCATCTGCCACAACCGCGGCTGATGCATATGCCTTGCCATATCCTCCAGCATCTCAACCACCTCCAAAAACCTCAACTCCGGTGTCTACCGCTTCCCTGCCGCCATCAACACAGCCGGCGCCGAGCACTCACGGTGTCGATAGCCACCCGCCCCCTAGCCCGCCGAGACGGACCACACGACACTCGGCGGCTAATGCAAAGCTCCCTGCCGATTCCAGGACATTGACGCCCGTCGGACATGCCTCTTCGCTCAGTGGCAATGCTATGCCATCAAACACTCTGGAAATGGAAGACTGGGAAGTTGCTCCAGGGCGGATTCGTGATGAACGCAGCGAATCCCCAACAAGTAGGTCTTCTAACGTCTATCCGATGTTATACTACGATGCTAACCATGTCCTAGATGTAGCCTTTTCCAACTCCTATCTCACGAGCAACCAAGCTGTGACTGTCTCTGAGGAAATATCCTTCAACGTTATCGTCATCAAGCCCGGAGAGTCGCACGAATGGGCCGCCGAATCGGAGAAGGTCCGAATTTGCTCCTTGGCCGCGGGCAAACTTAAGGTGAAACTTGAGAACGCTGAGCCATTCTCGATGGGCCCGAACGGAATGTTCAAGATGAAGCCCGGTACTGCATGCACTGTTTTGAACCGGCTATATATTGACGCGGTGCTGCATGTTACCACTGTTTCGTCCTTCTAGAGTGGATACTTCTTAGGCTTTGAGCGTGGATTGGCGTTAGGAGTCATAGAGGCCCGCATACCGTGCCCGGTCTTCAGATGACGATAGGATTGAGGCCTTACGCATCGCAGGTCACTTGCTTGGAGTCTTTATGCTGAGCTTTAGCAGGTAGCCTTCCATCATTAAACATATTGCAATACTTTTCGAGACCTCGACGACCTTTTCGTACTAGCATAACCAGGACGGATCTATCTCATTTCCGTGTGGTCTTCTTGGCGGTTCTATGGTTCATCACATTACATCTTGGCCACCTTTTCACCGAGACCTTTCTCATGGTCCACCACCTCGCCGCTTTGGGGCATGTCGACAGCCTCGATGATCTGCCCCTCGCCCTCCAACTCTTCAGGCCTGACATAGTCCTTGGGCTCAATCCATCCCTCTTCCATGATCGGAGGCGGCCAAATCCTGCAGGCAATCCAAAAAGTGAAGCCGGAAAGAATCAGCCCGACCCAATACGCAAAGAAGTAGAACCTTGTGACGCCGACGGGGGCCGAGACACCCATGTTGTTGAGGAAGCCGTAAAAGTTGGGGATGATGCCGACGATGTAGGCGACGTAAGCACGGATGTTCCACCCGTGGGAGTAGTGGTAGGCCCCTGACTTCATTGACGTGAAGCAATCTGGTATGCTGATGCGGCCGCGGCCGATGATGTAGTAGTTTACCAGTAAGACGCCTGTGATGGCAGAGAGGAAGATTTGATAGGATGAGAGGAAGGATACGAAGACGGAGGCAGAGCCCTAGGGCTTGTTAGCTATATGCTACCAGACATTGAGGTGGATTGAAGACTCTGGTTATATTGGGGGCTCAGCGAGACTTACCAAGAGGAACCATGGGTTGATGGCAAAGGAAATGACGGCACAGACGAAGAAGCCCCTTCGAACTGTAAGGTATTTGGGGAACAACGCGGCAATGTCGTTACCAGCCGGCAAAGAGTTCTCAAAGATGGAACTGAAGATGCAGCAGTATGCGAAGCAGCCGGCGATGAAGAAGCAACCGGCTCGGTTGGCCGCCGTGTACTCGGCCGTCTGGAGGTTATCCAGCAGCGTCACAGGGTTCCAGATCAATTCGCCAAAGATTAACTCGCTAGAGGCGCAGACGAGGTTTCCAACGGCTGCCACGATGAAGTTGGCAACGGGAAAACAGAAGAGGTTACCGACAATGACATCGTTCTTCTTCTTTGCATACCGTTGGAAATCCGCAGCGTTACTCGCAAAGGTGGCGCAGTTGGCCGCGCCGAGCATCAAGAACTGGATGATCAGCCACGCCCTCTTTGACCCGGTCGCCGTACCGCCCTGGCGGACAACAGGACCGAGGCCGCCTGCTTTTGTCGCTGTCCACGCGAGCATGGCCACTGCGGATATGATAAAGACGCACAGCTTCGCGTAGACGAGCCCGCGCATCTTGGGCACCGGGATGACGAGGAACGCGCAGGTGATGAGCCAGAAGATGACGAAGCCAATCATTCCCGCCGTCGTGAGTGCCGAGCCCTCGCCCATTGTGTTGGGAATATTTGCGATACCCGGTATGATGGCGTGGAGCATCACGTAAATGCACTGTCCTCCTTGCACGGCATTCACGCCGTTCCAAACGATAGCCATGACGGCGCGGTTAAAGGTCGGCCACCACGCGCCGTATATACCGAAAGCGGCGCGGCAGACAACGGGGTATCCGACGTGGTAGCAGCTGCCCGGGCGGCCGTTGAGGGTGATGATGGCGGCGATGAGGCATTGGCCTCCGAAAGCACAGGCGAGGGACTCCCACATGGAGAGGCCGAGGGCCTGGGCGGTTGAGGAGGCGTACCAGTTGGAGACGGTGGCAGTGGCGGAGAACCAGAAGGTGAAGTAGGTCCATTGAGTCCAGGTGCGGTCGGCGAGCTTGAGGGGGCGGAGGTCGTCGTTGTTGAGGAGGGCGTCGCGGCTGTGGATGTCCGAGGTGCCGGCGGCGGCGGGGATGCGGAGGCGGTTGAGGAGGCCCATTTCTGTATGGACGGTGCCCGTTGCGGCACTCTTGAATCCGGAGGCCGGAAGTGAGAAGTCAATTTGCGATATTCCGCTTTGAACACTCAACTGTGCTGAACACGTCTGAAAAGCAATGCCCCCCCACCCGTACAAGTTGCTTGAACAGCAAACGGGAGACACCTGGAGGAGCTCAACGTTACCATGACAGAGACTTATACCAAATCATACCCGACAGAATGGTAATCGTATCGGCTATGGAGTCGCGATCGGCTGCTGCATGCTGATAGCCCATGATACTCTTCAAGATACCGGAGTCGTGCGGTTCATGTGGGGGAGATAAGCACTGCAGGGATGCTAACGAGTCTCAATGGCCGACACATTGTGCAACCTTTCACAGAAAAGAGTTGTGCATTGCTGTACGGAGGACCGTCCGAGTATTTGGTGAACATGGTTCTGATTGAAGCTATTTTACTGTCGAAATGATGATGTTGAGGTGAATTCAAATTTCACCAAGACCTCTCAGGTGACGCCAAGTATCTTGGTAGATCAGCATTATATGAGTATAAGAGTCAACCGGGGAAAAGAGAAGCCCCCGGGAAACAAAGGGCCCCTGGTGGCTCCGAAGACGGGGATCAACCCCGTACCCCACACGGTCCGTTGTCGGCGCATTGTCCCGAGAGCGATAAGCGACCGTGCTGGGCGGATTTGCAGATTGTCTCCAGCGAACCGCGTCGCACGCCATTATCTTTGGCTATCGTGTCATTCGCCCTCGTTCGAACCTCAGACGATTTCCGGCTAAGACCGGCGGACGATATTTCAACTACCCGACGAGATCTAAACCACCCCTTCTGAGCATTTTGTTCATCCGGAGGCTTTAGTCGGAGTTGACATATCTAATTCGTGCGCAGTGAAACTTGTCGTAAGTGTTGGTCTCAAAAAAGAGACAAGTTCGCGTGACTAAAAAGGGAATCCTTTCTCTTGACCTCGCTCGACGTGGACTTTGAAGTTCGGATAGCTCAACTCGACGAATAACTCGACAACTGAACCAATCTCACTTTCACAACCCGCAATCATGACTACCACAGTGACTGAGACCGCCCCAGAGAGCTACAAGCTCGAGCTCATGTCCGCCTACGGCCCCGTCTACCGCGACGTCCTCAAGACCCCGCCCCGGGACTGCAACGCCTCCGAGGTCCCCGTCATCGACCTCTTCACCATCCGCGGCACCGAGGCCGAGCGCAAAGCCCTCGCCGCCACCATCCGCGACGCGGCCGAGAACACGGGCTTCTTCTACATCAAGAACCACGGCATCCCCATAGCCACCATTGACGCGGCCTTCTCGCAGGCGCAGGCCTTTTTCTCGCAGTCGAATGAGAAGAAGGCGCTGGCGACGCAAAAGAAGAGCAAATTCTTCAACGGGTGGACTGAGAAGCGCGCTGCGCAGATCTCGCCGACGGAGACGAAGGATCACCGTGAGGGGTTCAGTTTTCGGTATGATCCGCGGTATGATCCCGAGACCAAGGACCCGGACGCCGTGCCGGAGGAGGTGAAGCCGTGGATGAAGCATGAGGACTTTGTGTGGGAGGGGACGAGCCACTTGCCTGGGTTCAAGGATGACATGATTACGTACTGGCAGGGTTGTTTGACGCTTGCGAGGAGCTTGATCCGGGCTTTCGCGTTGGCGTTGGATGTTCCTGAGAACTATTTTGATGATGTTATTACATATCCTGGAAGGTACGTGATCATGCCTTTGACGAAATCGCGAGCATAGACTGACAGTCTTACAGTGATAGCGTCTGTAACTACTACCCAAAGAACACGGAAGCACAAGACGCGACTATCGACGTCGGCCTGGGCGCTCATACTGATCTGCAATGTTTCACCCTCCTCTGGCAAGACAGCGTCGGCGGGTTGCAGGTGCTTACAAAAGACGGGCAGTGGATCAAGGTGCCGCCCGTCCCCGACACCTTTGTCATCAACATTGGCGACTTTTTGCAGCGTCTGTCCAATGACCGGTTCAAGTCGACTGTTCACCGGGTCTTTAATTACGCTCCCGAGGACCGGTATTCTATGCCCTTCTTCTTTGGGTTCAACCACAATGAGCAGTGTTCTGTGCTTCCTACTTGCACGGATGAGAAGAATCCACCCAAGTATGAGCCGATCAGCTGTGGCGAGGTACGTCACAGAGCCCCTTTCTAAGTCGGTATGAGACTGTTGAGTGGTGAGACTGACTAAGTCACAGTGGTGTCGTTTGAGGTTTGAGAGAACTTATGAGTTCTCGAGGTCAAAAGACTCGAAATGATGTTGCTGAAAAGAGCCATCTCAGTTTACTCATGACCTCGTTGCATTTTGCTCGAAATTACCTATACCAATTCTAGATCTTTGATTCTTCTCGACTTGAAATAGGATTCGACCAATTCGTCCGAGCAAGTGGCCTTACTTCGCAAATATCTGCGCCTTCCTAGTTCAAGAAGTCCTACACGGCTGTATGTGACCCCGCCACCATGGGCAGACTTGCTGGGCTTGATGTGAAGATACATCCACGTAGTCTCTTGGCCTTCACCCGCTCTGAGAATTAGAGCAAACATGGCCCCAGCTTCCCAGACCGAAGGAGAAAGACTTGCCTCTCTGTTGGGAAAGTCGTGCAATACAGTAATCGGGAACGTTTCATCTCTTGCTCTTTCACTCAAGCCAGTGAAAACAGGACATCTCATGCTGAGCGTGATGCTATCGTTGACAGAAGTCAGTTCAGCGTAGTATGTCAATTTCAGCATACCATCCTCTCGAGGCATTGTGACTTGACTTCGGCAGGATGCCCAGGACCACGATGGCGGTTCCTCGGTCTTGGAGTTTTTGGGGTGAGATTCGCTGGAAGGATTCTCTGTATGCCATAGCAAGTCCAAAGGAAGAGAACATTTCCAGATTCCAGCAATGTAATCTTCCATTTCTTGCCCGGTCCGGCGGCCATATTGGATTGCGAGACCCATTATCGCGGGTAGCCTGTCTGACTCTTGAGTCAGGTCTAGGGTGGTGTATCTTTCTACCAGCCGACGCCACCAATTGCGCAAGTTGCGTGCCGCATGTTCACCCTTGTCGTCCAATGAGGCATAGTACGCCATCTTGAGCGGCATCGGCAGGATTGTATAGTTCGGGTCCTCTGCCCGCTTAGAGTCGTGGAACCGGTAGGATCTTTGGTTGACCTGACTCATGTTGCCTTCCTCTCCCTTGAGGTTTAACTGACCTGTCATGCCAGAGAGTTTGCCGCATTCGCATTGCGAGCCTTCGTAGCACTCCCACATGACTTCGTTTGGGGCGAAGATGACGAACCTGCGAGAAAGTAGTCTTTCTTGCATCACCCATCCCCTCGTCATCAGGTCTAATCTACTAGGCGTACGAAGACCCTGCTGCTGCATGACATGTTCCCTCCCAGCTAACTCGTAATCATTCTCATGATCCGGTAGTCTTTTTCGCAACATCAGTCTTGGATTTTGGCGTTGAGGATTGGTAACGTCGAATCCCTTGTAGACGCGTTCAGCTTCAGCAAAGCAGCCATCAGGCCCAGCCGCCGCTGCGACAGTAAGGAGTGCACCTTCATAGACAGAACACATTAGCTTCGACTCTGCGTCCCAGTCTGCAACACTGTCTTGGATGATGCAGAGGCTGTCAATCCAGACGTATCGAATGGGCTCTTCTTCCGGATGGCCTCTCGCATACCACGAGGCAAAGCCCTTTATGAATATGATGGCGTCCTGGAAGTTCCGGGTAAGAGTAGACCAAGGAACATTTTTCTTCAGCGACTCGATGTTGGTGCTCACACACCGCGGCATCTTGGAAGCTTCTATCCATCTGTGGCTGAGTGCGATGTAGTGGCTTCTTATGGTAACATGTTCAACCAATCGCATATTGTCTGTGTCTGAGATATCGATCAGACGAGTTGGCATCGGGTGAATGCTGAGTCCGCTGCTACAGTCCGGATGCTGCGCAACACACTCCCCAAACCACGTAAAGATCTTTTTGAAAGCATCTGGAGACCCCGTGTGACCTACGATGGGCGAAGACTCGTAGGCATGGGCTACATATACCGGCAGCGGGTTGTAAGCGTTGGGATCAAGGACTGAGATCAAGCATCGCAGCCAGGACTGCATGTAACCCTGGGTCGGTGGCAGTGTTGTTTTAAGCAGTTGTAACTTTGATAGTATATAACCACCTCTTAACCCTTCTTTCCTTGCGGTAAGAACAATGTTCGTGCCGTCCACGTCTGCGTCGATGTAGAACAGGGCATCTCGCATGTTATCTGAGTCTACATCGTCGAGAATATGACTGAAGAACGAGATTGTAAAGCGGGCTACCCAGCAGCCGTGACAACGGTTTTCGTACTCTGGTTGCAGTAAGCGGCTATCGGGCTTAAACTTGGGGTTCAGTCCGGTTCGGGGGTCCGGGCCGGGTGGCATGTCAGTGGAGAAGAAGGACAGGCATATCGGGCATTCTTCCGTCTTGTAGATCCATCCAGGCAGAAGGCGCTGCCTCAGCGATGACATGGTTCACCGTTCAGCAGTTACGAGATGCTTCTCCAGGGAATAAGACTGACAACTTGGAACCCAGGTATAGATAGGTCGGCCCGGTGTGAGCTGAAAGACAACACTCCGACAATGAACGCAGGTTGGTTGTTGGGGGCCTGAATTCAGGCAATGGATGCTGTAAATCAACAATTTTTAGACTCAGTACCCCGCTCGCTGATTCCGTGGTTCGATGCCTGCATATCATCTGCAGAAGAGGGTGGCATCACGTGGGGCTGTGACATTGGCATTGCAGTAGTGCTGATTGGCAATCTATCCGTCTGATAGCCGGCCCATAGATGGAGACGTTTGCACAGCCAAAGAGAAAACGGCACCGAGACTTGGCATTTTGCGAGCAGGTGAGTTGCTGTGAAGTTTTCTCTTGTCTTAGCCTGCGTTAAATGAATCCCTATGGTCATAATACTAACAACTAGACACCGCCATACTTTAGGTACTAGTAGTAAGTGAAGAACCGCCACAGAAGAAGCAAAAGCTGTGTATTCTACAAGGAGTTTTGGATAGGCACTCATTGTATTTGTTCCTGATAATTGATTCATCAGTCATCATTGATTGAGGTAGCATCAGCTCCATCACCTCTTTCCGCTCGTAAGTCGTTCGTCTGACTCCAGCGCCCTGCCCCCAGCCGATTCGGGCAGGTAGACTGAGTTCCATCTGCATCACTCGGCTAGAAGTCGAAGCTCTGTCCGAATTGAGTGCTTGGCCATTACCAACCACAGACGGTTTTCTCTCATCCCGGCACCTGCCTTCGACGCGAACAGTGTTATTTTTGTTCGTGCCGTGGCTGCCTGCACTAATCGCCTTCCAGTTTGTAGTTGCTCGTATGCAGTCCAACCTTGAATTTTTATGTGGAGTAATAGTTGATGAACTTGGTTGGTGGGAGTCTAGAACAAATGGCACTCTACCGCAGATGTGTTTGCGGTTTGGGGGCTGGTGTACTGCAGGTTGTACTTGGCGACCACGGGAGGACCCGTTTGTAGTGCTTCATTGAGTCTTTGTACAATACGCAGCCATGGGTTGCCAACAAGAACTCGCTGACATTAAAGAATTGACTGTGTGCCTCGAAACCATCTTGCGCGTTGCAACTTGAAACTTTGCCCCAAATTTACCACGCCCGAATTCATCATGTTTGGCCAAAGATACAGCCATTTCTCAGAAAGTGGGCTAGACTCCGGTCCCGAGGAGGTACCCCGTGGACGGCTCTCGAGGCCAGTGTCCGCAGAAGCTTTCCCACAATTCATCTCGAGAGAGAGGCAAAGGTCAACTGATCTTGACCAAGGACATGGTATACGCTCAACAAAAGTTGACTAGGCTGAGTTACTGCTTACAAAATAACAGAAACATCCTTGTCGCGTGATGGCCTCGTCAGCACTATGCGCCCAGCAATGGCTAGAAGAGAGCATTTCTTGTCCAGACGCTCGCTCAACAATATTGAGGGCAATCCTTTGATTACAGGCCTTCCAGTCGATCAGACTTCCACGGCAAGGTCAAAGTCTGGCACGCCTGTTGTGAACGTATCAATCAATAGAAAGCCAGTAGCTACATCTACGTTTGACACCGTGGATAGCCAAGGCTATCAAAGTCTAAAACGAGGCTATCTGAGTGACGAACCGCCCAGTAAATCGGAATGTGAACCATTTACGGTCAAGCCGCTTTGGCATATATGGGCCTGGGAGGTGTTCTACATATTTCTCAGCGTATCCTCCTTCTTTTGTACGTTTCTATAAGTTTTTCTATCTGACAATACCGTCAAAGCTTCATACTAACGATTTCGACTTTAGTGATCGTTGCGGTCCTCTGCAGCTATGACCAACAACCGTTACCAGACTGGCCCCTGCATATCACGCTCAACACTTTCCTTGCCTTCTTTACCACGTTGGCAAAAGCAGCCTTTATGCTTCCCGTATCAGTCGCAATAAGCCAGACGCAATGGTCATGGTTTCTCAAAGACCAACCTCTCCATGACCTGCAATTGTTCGACCAAGCGAGCAGAGGGCCGTGGGGTTCCGTCTTGCTGTTGAAACGTATTAGATACAAACACTTCGTTTCTCTCGGTGCCTTTTTGATGGTTGTCAGCGCCCTAACTTCACCAATAACGCAACTCGCTATCAAATATCCCGTCCGAGACTCTGTGGCCCTGCATGAGGAAGCCAAGGCAGCGGCAGTACGCAACATGACGTCGGACGAAGATCGCATGAACTTGGGGACACGCCGAGCTTTAGTGCTAGCCACTTTGTCTGACAGCACCGATTTCATGGAACCGATTGCACCCACTGGCGCGTTCTGCTCTACAGGTAATTGCACCTTTGATCGGTATCAGTCTCTGGGCATTTGCGTGAAGACGGCGAACATCACCGAATACTTGAAAGTGGAGGAGTTCGATTCCCCAGACATGATCGACACCCTTGTCTTGGGTTTCCCAAAGCCTGATGCAAAGGTGTGGCGAGCATCTCTCCCTAACGGCTTGGAAATGGCTCATCAGACACCATTAGCGGCCATGACTGATATGCTCAACGGGAGTGAGACCTTTGGTTTCCAAGACGACGAAGATCTCAAGCAAACTAGGATATCGTCTTTCACCGTCATCTACACCAACCCAACAGAGCTGAACGAGACATGGTACAACGGGCTCTCTGAAGTCGCCGGAGCGCCGTTTGCGTCAGACCTCATCGGCGCAATCTACGATTTTCGACATGAAGCAATGGAGGTCATGTATTATCTATGCGTGCAAACGTACGAGACAAAGATTTCTATGGGTATCGAAAGAACTACTCTTGTCGAGACGTCTGCTGTACCTGTTGAACAAGAGAAACCCTTCTTCCTGGACATGCAGTGCCGGGCACTCCTTGCAGAAGCCTCGCGTACGTGCAACCAGAGCATCGACCGTTGGCACGAAACATTGCATCTCAAGGATCCGAGGTTTCTGACAAAGCTTGACATTGACCCGACACTCGAGGAAGAACATTACAGTGCAAGCTACTTCTCTCTAGAGAAGATATCCACCATTTTAAAGACTGACATCATGGGCTATGCGAGTGCTAGCTACGTCACCGAAGAGTATCAGGATACAGCTGTTTTCTTCCGTGGACAAGAGTTTCTCAAGACTCTTTTTCAAAGTGTTATATTTGACCTGAAAAATATCGCCAACTCTACTCTACGACAAATCGCCTTGAACAATATACACACAAATGTTGCAACTAGTGTCTCAACAATGTAAGTCTACCCCTTAGCCCCTTGTTGCAGTGCTCTAAAAGCTTGGACTCCTCTGAACTTTACCAGCATGCGAGTCAATCAACCGCGGAGTTACGCCTTCAACTCTTTCAATATTTCTGGCGAAGCATTGACGCAGGTCTCATATGTACACATCACCTGGGGATGGATATCCATGCTTGCAGTCGAGATTGTGATTGCTCTACTATTTCTCGCCCTTACAATCGTCAGCCAAATCAAATTGAATGATGGCCAGGCATCAAGCAGGGAAGAACGTAATGCATTCCGGGAAGCCAAGAACTCGTCTTTGGCCATGCTTGTCGCCCTCGACGAAGATTCTCGTGCTAGAGCAGGAGGTGGACTCCGGCCTTTGGATGAACTCCAAAGCGCTTCGAAGGCTCTAAAGGTTCGATTTGAGGGTCGCCAGATGGTCATGGCTGATGAGACCATTATCGAAACCTCGCAAGTTGGTGATCGTATCATTTAGTGTATCCGACGATAATTTGAGGTCTGTTTCCGAGTGATATATATGTAGGAGTTTGTGTGGAAATTACAAGTACCTTAAGAAAAAGAGTCAATGGCTCACGGCCTAGTACAATAACAAGGCTCCATGCACCTCTACGATTTACGTGTGATATTCCCAGGGCCCGAAGAGAAGGAAGCAGAACATCGCGTCAATATAAATCTTGAATCATGGTAGCTCATGTATTACGTTCTCACTAGTAGGTCAGCTTCATCTATCCTTCAAGCCTAGGCTACGATCGAGCTAAATAAGTACTCACTAGCAAGGATTTCTTCCCGCTTGAGCTTCAGATCACCATCACCCAACTGCGACTCTACGTCATGATCATCGGGATGTTCAAGATGGATCCAATCGTTGCCGAATGTTCGAAGACAAGCAACGGTGATCCATAGGTCCTCCATGCTGGCGTGACCCGTACCACAACCAGCATCCAGCAAGCATTGAGTGATGTAGCCTTCCGGAAGTTTACTAGGCGCATCGAGAAAACATGGTCGCAATATCTCCTTGTCGCCGCAATGAGTTTCGGCGATGATGGCATCGCCCATTCGATGTAAGCATTTCGCACGGGGTATCCAAGGCGTAGCGTCCGATGGAAGCGAAGGCGGAGTTGCGGTTGGATTCGGCTGGTCGAAGCCAACTGTCAACAGAAAAGTTGGCAGTGCGAGAGGAGTAGGACGCATATTCTAAAGTAAAAAGAGATTGGCTGGTGATTCTTGTGGCGTTGTTGGATGTCAGCTGAGGTTCCCAGCGATGATGTTGATGCCACTGGCTTTTGTTTGAAAGTTTGGAATCTTTATTCTCGTATCAGTTTCCATAGGGTTCCCCAGGCATCCATTCAACGAGAGCAATGTTGTGGAGCTTTGCTAGGCCATATGAGGCAGCTTTCATCACAAGTGCTGACATGCGTCCATTTTTTGTCCGAGGCCCCTGTTTGGGTGCCCAGCTAAGGTCATACCGTATTCCTGGACACTTGGAGTTGCAATTAAGATTCAAGCATAAAATGAATTCAATCACTGAAGTGTTCTACTGCTTCTGAAATGGTCCATAAGTTCTAGGCAGCTGAATGCCATGTTGAGTATCCGGACCAACTGCTTTTGGAGTGAATATTGGCTAGTGAACATTTCAATCCTCTTTCGCCTGTCGAAGCAGATCAGTAAATCCAAATCTACATACTAAAAAAGTTGAAGATCAGCCCATCTTGAAGGCAACCGACCGAAGGACGGCCATGTCTTCTTGTTCATTTGGCTTGGGGTGGTAATTACATGTATTTATGAGCCAGACACCATGGACTGATGTCTTGAAACTACCCAGAAATAATACAATCTTGCCCTTCTACTAATATCCATCGAACAATCTTTCAAATATTGTTTGCAACATCAACTCCTTCTACGTCACTAGGAATTGAATCGTATTAACATTAAATCTCAATTGATGGAACCTCGACATCGTGTTGGTCTATCAGACTCTCTAGGAAAGTGGGTCTCGCCGAATACAGTACGATAGTCAAAAGAATCTTCTGCGCACGGTACGTCTATGTCAGTGAAAATTCTGGTCTCCAATTGCTAGACGGCCCTCCCAAGGCCAATAGAATCGTTAGAACAACAAAAAAAACATCACGATATACCAGCCACGCCCTTCTTTCATATATTTCAGGCTCCACATACGTGTACTGTTGGCTTCGCACTCATAATCGGTCAACATCATGGCTGCAAACGGTGATTTTCAGACGACATCCCAAAGGTTTTTGTCGTGGTTCAAGTCTTTGTCGGGCGCCACTTTCCACGATGACATTCAGATCGTCGACCTGAGAGGCCAAAACGCTGGGCGAGGAATGGGTAGGTCATTTGCCTTCTTTTCAAGACACTTTTGACTAAGAGACCCCCAGTGGCCACAAAGGACATCGCACCTGAGACAGTCCTCTTCACCATCCCAAGAAAAAGTATCATCAATGTCGAGACGTCTGAGCTTCCCAAGAAGATTCCTCAAGTCTTTACCGGCAATGATGGAGATGACGAGGACATGGAGAATGAGCCCCTCGACTCATGGGGTTCTCTTATCCTCGTAATGATTTATGAGTACCTCCAAGGCGATGCTTCACCCTGGAAGCCTTACTTTGAGGTCCTTCCTGAGAAGTTTGACACACTCATGTTCTGGGAGTCTTCTGAGCTCGAATACCTCAAGGGAAGCGCTGTATTGTCAAAGATTGGAAAAGATGAAGCCGACGATATGTTCCGTTCGCGAATTCTGTCGGTCATCGCAGCCAATCCAGCCGTCTTCTACCCTGCAGGTGCCTCGCGATTGGCTGACGCAGAGCTCCTGCGATTGGCTCACCGCATGGGTAGCATCATCATGGCTTACGCCTTCGACTTGGAGAACGAAGAGGAGCCGGAAGAGGAGGAAGAGGAATGGGTTGAGGATCGCGAGGGCAAGTCAATGCTGGGTATGGTACCCATGGCTGACATCTTGAACGCCGATGCAGAGTTCAATGTGAGTAGTCCCCCATTCACATTTTTGACGTTTTACCAACGCTAATGACTTGGCAGGCTCATGTCAATCACGGTGACGATGACCTCAGCGTCACCGCTCTGCGAACAATTCGCGCAGGAGAGGAGATCCTGAACTACTACGGCCCTCACCCAAATTCTGAGTTGCTTAGAAGATACGGCTATGTCACTCCCAAGCATTCTCGGTACGATGTGGTTGAGATTCCGTGGGACCTGGCGCAGTCTGTACTCAATGAACAGTTGAAGCTCACTGACGAGGTCTGGAAAAAAGTGGTACGTACCGAGAATATTCAACCAGAGAGAAAGGCAATCGAATTAACGGGAGTGGCGCAGGGAGAATACATAGACCCTGAAGACCTCGAGGATGTATTTGTCCTCGAGCGTGAGTCAGGAGAGCCAGACTCGGAAGGACGACTCACAAACCCCGCCAAGGTCCAGGAGGTTTCTGCAGAGCTTGAAGAGCAGCTGAAGGGTATCTTGAAGCTCCTCAAGAAGATGAATGCTGATCTCATCCCTGATAAGCGGAAACGCGATGAAATCTACCAGCACGTTGTTGTGTCCACCCTGCAGAAACTTCTGGCGCAGTACCCGACGACAGCCGAGGAAGATGAGGCTTTGCTGGCATCGGGCAGCTTGACACCTCGTCAGAAAATGGCTGTTGAGGTAAGACTTGGCGAGAAGCGTCTTCTGAAGGAGGCTCTTCAAGTGGTGGGTACCAGCGGTTCCGTAGAGGAAGCTGCTGGCGAGGAAGAGTCGGACAGAGCTTCCAAAAGGGTGCGACATTAGTTTCCATCCGTATAGAGCGAGTAGGGGAATAAAGTCAGGCGAGAAAGTATGTAATCGCCTCACGCTCAAGTGGCCCGGAGCTGCCTGGCTGCGAAATGTCAAATTCAACGTCACACAAACAGTCCCACTTACACCGCTTGATGATGCGTGCCTCTAAAACCACAAGTTGTTGTCTCCTTTCCCTCTCTTATCTAATGGCAGTGCGTTTCTCGAGTCTGTGCCGCAATAACAAGCCCATTTCATCGGATTTGTCGGAAATCCTGGCCGACCAAAACCACTGGCCGCGCCGCCGCAGTCAGAGACATGCCCACCAACTGCGGCCTCCCAACATGGCGTTGGTTCGCCATAATTTGCAGTTGGCCAGCGAAACCAGTTCGCTTCACTCCAAATGAACCCCCGCACTTGAGCTGACCGGTCCTTAGCTCAGCGGGGGATGTTTCCACCCGATAGGCCCTTCTGGATGCCCGATATCGACCGATTGCAATCGATGACGAAGGAATATGGATGGGCGGAACACCGTCAGCCCTCCAAGCCAGCCTGCCGCACACCGATTCAAGAATACGCGAGTTTACGATAGGGTCGTGGAACAAAATTCGATGGCGCTTGCTTAAGAAAGGCCTATGAATCTTGAAGGATGAGCCCTTCGAGGTTTCGTGCCACCTCTTTCTCTCAGCGAAGTGCTACGAGGAAGAGTCTCACCGAGATCACGCAGACATGCCTATCCAATATTGTTCCATATCTCGTCCCCGGATGAGTGCCAAAATCGCCATGTCAGAGAGACGTCTGCTCCCATCAAAAACTAGGAGGACATAAAACAATCCATTACGCACCTCATAGAGGGTGGCGTCTAGCATAGTTCTGATCTCTCTTCTCAAGTTCTCTCGACCACTATGTTCAACCACAAGATAGACGAATCCAACTGGCGTTTTGCTGCGATTTCAAGGTTGTATGGTACCGCTTGATACCCAATCTTTCTCTCCGCCGCTACAAGCTCCCCACAGCGCGTCAACCTTGCCTACTTCGAGTCTTCGGCACTTTCGCAAAGATGCCACGTCGAGCCTTCACAACAAATGGAATGTTTAACCGACCAAGCTTTCCAAGGTTTCATTCGGTGCAATAGGCAACCCGGGGCTGTTGGGCTTCATGATCTGATGAACGTCTGTACGAATGACGCTACTCTCTTTGCAGTGATGGCGGAATCTGGCGCCTCAACTGCGGCCAGGTCATAGGCAGGGAAGGAGGTGTCATGTTTTCTTCGACCAGGGATCCATGACCGACCAGGAAGCAGTCCATCAATACGGCCGTCGAGTCGACAGCCACAATCCATTCCCGCTCCCACCTCGAGTCGGTTTCTGGCCGAACCTTTCCAGCGTCGACGGCCGAGCCCGAGCTCCCCAAGCTGGGCCAAAGAAGTAAAATCGCCGACAACCTCATTGGCTCCGGATTTATTCACGCCAATCGCATACATGGACATGATTGGTTTAGCTTCATGCAAGTCATACAAACATCCACCTCATGGGTGACAACCCTACACGCTTGATCTACTGTCGATGCCAGCACTCCTGCAACCACGCTCAACGATGTTGAAGCCCACACACGGAGTTGCAGGAAGATTTGGGCGTCTTGAACCTGGATGTCAACCCAACAGCAAGCAAGCCCTTGTATTACACCAGGACAGACGTGCCCCAATGAGCAGCTGGCGGCACAAGGGCCAGTCAAGTTCTATTCGTTGGGTTTCGCCGGCTCAAAGGCAGACAGAGCAAAGGAAACAGCGAAACCCGCATTGTCAAGATTCCCATGTCTTCTCATCTTGGAATCGCATAGTTGTGTCTCTGCAGTGCGCCATGCAGTCATTCTTCACCGGCGCAACGTGGCCGAGTACAGGCCAAACGACATGTGACCACGGGGCCTGCGCCTCCGTCGAGATCAGGAAATCTGAGGTAGATCAGAACTCTACGTTTCTGTCTCACACGTGTCCATTGTCGTCAACAAGGCGTCGACAGCTTTGGATTGGGCTCTAATGATCTTCCAGACCATGATGTCCCAATCGGACCCTGGACTTGTAGAATGCTCAGGGATGCAAGTAAGGATAAGAGTTGCATCCTTGACGCATCGCAGGTTGAAGAATATCAGGCCACCTTGTCGGGCATGGACGACGACATCGTCAGGCCCCGAGGTACAATGGTTGCATATTAGACTGGAATCCATCATCTCTGTCATTTCTGACAAGATCACTCAAATCTCACTTGACAGAAACGACTGTCATCCGACCAGAATAACAGCAAACATCGTGGACTTCGTGTTCAGCCCTTAGCGCTAGCAATCTTAGCCGCTGCCTGCCGGATCTATTTGCCAACAGGAGATGTATTCTCACTCAAGTGTATGTACCCACGCCTCCTGTGCCTCGGATCAGTAAAACGTCTGACAAAGATAGCGGAGTGGAAGTCACAAACATGGGAGGAAAGGCGAAAAGAAGGACAAAGGGCACAAGCCAAGAGAGTCTAGCAGCAAACAAGATACCCCAAGCTGCAGCTTTCTCTTTGTAGTCAACGAACTCCAGATCCTCGAGGGAGATGATAATGTCGATACATACGGCAATATTCTCCCTCCCAATTCCGCTGATGGTTATGGTAGGGAGATTGCCGGTCTGGTCTGGCGGTATGAGAATGGCGTCGTCAGTCAAGCTGGAAGTGAGTTTATCTGGCATCGTTCGGATTTGAGAAGCCCCGGAGGTATTTGGGGTCCGACAGGGGGGCATTTCGACGTGAATGGGACTTTTCACCCAGACATTGGACCGATGATGGAATACCAGACTTGCAGCGTCTTCAACTGCTGGCGCTTCCTTCCATGCAGATTCACCGACGTTGACGCGTCCACAGTGGATGACCCATTCTGGCACAACCTAGAATTCCGCCACGATCGTCCCAATACGGGCATTACTCGGATCATTGTGCCTGGCGGGTCCCAAAGACATGTGGTTGGGAGGAATCCGTCTTGGATGCCCCATGTTCTGCCAGAGATATTCGCCACGCCGGACCCATCAGCTCCCCAGTCCACCGGCCTTGGTGGCAGCTTTGCCATCATCATCGCTCTCCTCGCCCTCACGACACGTCCTAGGCACATGGATGATGTGTTTCTCCAAGGCCAATGGAACAGGCACCAATGGACAGGAAGCCGATGTCCACAGGCTGGTAAGAAGAAAGAAAAAAAACCACATCAGCGAGTTCTTTGGTGTGCTACTACTAACTTCCAACTCTCTAGACCCCGACCCCAGGGGCTCTCCGCGGGGTGTGATGGTACAAGTCTGCTGTGATAGCTATAACATTAACACTAATTCGACCTTCGATGCTATCAGGAATTTCGAGCAACAAGGTTGTGCCATCAAAGATCGTCGATCATGAATATCTCTACTCCATCTCACGACACAGGATCGCGTCGCTTTCTTTCCTTTATCTAAAGGACTTCTTAACAATATCTATACCCACTTCGACCAGCAGTAACGAATGTTTCACTCCATCAGTGTGGTTGTCTCAGAGTCAAGGGAGTTTTATGACGCTCATGATTAACGAACGGCCTTTGGAGTCGAAGATGAGGGATGAAGCTCTTATAGGGGCAGACACACGCAGGATATATCTCCTAGGGCGCACACATCTCTGCAATATTGAACTTTACATCATCATTGAAAGCTTCCTCCTTCTTGTCCTAGTGAACGAGGATTGTCTACTCGGCCCAGTAAGCACTCATCCAACGGCTCTTGGGAGCCCCGAAGCATTGACGCATCTACCTTGCTCCCTCCTGGATGTGTCTATGGCCCATGCCCACCAGCCGATTTGTTTTTTGTGTAACCTCAATTCACGTTTTCGCTCAATAAAATACTAGTGCGTCGATGGAAAATAGACTCCCTTCGAGCTCGTATTGCGTTACAACTAAACCAATAACCGCCCGCCTCATACTGCGTCAGGCAACCTCACAGCTATGTCTCCTGACTGGGTGATGTATCTGACCCAAGGCAACGAGGGATATTGCAGCTGTGACAAGTTAGCAAATGACGGCTCCTGGAAACTCCTCGAGGGGAAAAGACTTACTTTTGGCTCAGTAATCTTGAGGTACCGCACTTGGATACCACTCGTCGTGAAATAGGGGATCTCAAACTTGACCTGGATTGGCCTCTTGGCACCCTTGCCAGGCGCACCAACACCGCCCATACTACCGCCGAAACCACCAGTCATACCACCGCCGTGCTCATCGTCGCCTCGTACCGAAGGCAGTCCCAGCTCTGCCCTCATTAAGAACTCCTTGTTGCCTCCAAACTGCTTAATCTTCCACACGATGGCGCTCTGTTCAGGGGCGTAGTGGACGGCACCAATGTTGGTGCGGAAGCGAGGAGTATCGGCATCGTCGGGGACTGGAACGATAATCTCGACATTGTTGGCCGTACTCCTCCTCTTGAATTGCGATCTGGCCTTGAGCATGTACTCGACTCGCGACCCGCTATGGCTCTCGACAACGCATTCGACCCAAATCAGGGGCTTGACCTGGGTGTTGAGGCGGTAGCTCATGAGCTCGAACTCACCGTCCGGGGGGATGAAAGAAATGGTTCTGTCGTTCTCGAAGCGTGACAGCCGCACACACTGGTGGAATTTAACGTCCTCCATCTCAATGGCCTTGCCGCGTGTCGTCCGACCCGTTGTTTCGAACATGACCTTGTCGTTCAGGCCCAGGCGAAGCTCGGGCATACCGCTGAGGTAGCACTTCATCTTGATGGCGCCCAGGATCTCGCTGCGCAGGACGTTGCCGTTGGCGCTGACGAGAAGGTTGAGACTCTCGACAACGTCAAGGAAGACCTCGTTCTTGCGGTAGCGGATACCCTCAGAACGCCATGAGACGGCGTTTGTGACGGCGATGGGTGGGCGGGCCTGGATCTCGAGCTTGTGGGATTCTTGGGTGATGTACTCCTGGAGGATCTTGGACTCGGTAGTCTGGGGGTAGCCAAAGTCCAT